CGCTCCGAAGCGGTTTAGATTGTATGTACAATCTTGTGTATTACGCTCCGAGGCGGTTTTAGATTGTTAGATACAATTTTGAATTTTATGCTCCGGGGTGGTTTTAGATTGTTAGATACAATCTTGAGTTTTACACTCCGAGGCGGTTTGGATTGTATGTACAATCTTGAGTTTTACGCTCTGAGGCGGTTTAGATTGTTAGGTACAATCTTGGGTTTTACGCTCCGAGGCGGTTTTAGATTGTTAGATACAATCTTTAGTTTTACGCTCCAAGGCGGTTTATATTGTTTGGCACAATCCTGGGTTTTACGCTCTGAGGCGGTTTTAGATTGTTAGATACAATCTTGAATTTTAGATTGTTAGATACAATCTTGAGTTTTACGCTCCGAGGCGGTTTAGATTGTTTGGCACAATCTTGGGTTTTATGCTCCAAGGAAATTTTAGATTGTTAGATACAATCTTGAGTTTGAAGCTCCTAGGCGGTTTTAGATTGTTGTGATTTTTACACTTCGAGGCGGTTTAAATTGTATGTGCAATCTTGAGTTTTACGCTCCAAGGCGGTTTAGATTGTTTGGCACAATTTTAATTTTCAAGGCTCCGAGGTGGTTTAGGAATATTCTGGTATTGACAAAGATGAACACTCGGAGGTGGTTTCATTGATCGAATCTCCTTTGGCTACCCTCGGGGGCCAGGATTCGGCTTACATGGAAAACTTGACAAAATACATCGCAGGCTACAATCGTGATGATTGCTTCAAAAGTTGAGCGGCCATGCGATTTTTCCCCTTTCCCTATACTACGATGTACTTCTTCAGGTGGATGGCGTTCCAGGTCTTCGCCTCAGGCTTTCCTCTCATCGTGACCAATACGTATGTTGCCGGCCCTAGCTTTTCCCCAACGAGGAATGGTCCTTTCCATGCAGCGACCAGCTTGACATGTCCCTCCTTTTGCTCAAAGTTTCTTTTCAGGACCATATCGCCCTCTTCTAGTGGTATGGGCCTTACCTTGGTGTTGTACGCCTTTGTTTCGATCTGTCCATCTAATGGAGTAGCTTCTAGTGATTATCTTCGGGGTCGTAAGTTTGGACTCTGAGCGATGGGAGAGCCATCTCTATTGGTGCAACCGCCTCGGAACCGTATGTCGGTGTAAAATGGTGTTTCCCTGGTGGCTCGTTTGTAATTTCTGCGATGTGCCCAGAGCACGTGGGGTAACTCCGCGATGCACCCTCCTTTTGAATCCTTCAACCTCCTTTTTAGGCCGCGTAAGATGAGCTTGTTGGAAGATTCAACATGTCCATTGGCTTGAAGGAAAGCCACCGACGACATGTTGTAGATGATACAGTTTCTTGCACATAAGTTCTCGAACGGTCTCCAGTCAAACTGTGTACCATGATAAGTGATTATAGTATGAGGCATTCCGAACGTTACATTATGTTGTTGAAAAAGAACTTTTGGATCTTGGCGCTTGTGATTGTGTCGAGCGGTTCCGCTTCTATCCACTTTGTGAAGTAGTCTACAGCGACCACCAAGTACTTCTTGTCCATAGGAGTCGTGGGGAATGGTCCCAATAGATCTAGGCCCCACTGTGCGAACGGCCATGGTCCTATGATGCTCTTCAGCTGCTCGCTGGGCATGTGTTGCCTGCTGGCATGGACTTGGCACGTCATCCTTGGACCGCCTCCATCGTGTCCTTCTTTACGGTTGGCCAGTAGTACCCTTGTAGTAGCACCGTTCTCTCAAGGCTTCTTGGTCTAGAATGAGACGCGCAAGTGCCTTGGTGGATTTCTTTTATTACCCATTTTGCTTCTTCTGGTCCAAGGCACTTCAAGTATTTCCCGAGAGAGATCTTTTGCAAAACTACCCTTCGACTGTGGTGTAGTGAGCCACCTTCCGTCTTAGTGCCTTGGCTAAGACTGTCTATGGGGACCAAACCCCTTTGCAGGTAGTCGACCAGCGGAGAGCGTTAGTCGTGGATCCCGTCTTCCACGGCCATGACATCATAGCTAGAACCCGCCTCCTTTGCTACGGTTACCTGGCGGTCCCCCTCGAAGACCATTACGGTTGCTAGCTTGGATAGGTTGTCGACATGGTGATTATCTTCCCTCCTTATATGCTCCAGCTTCCAGGTTTCCAATTGGGACAAGATGCCTTTGACCTGTCCTGCAAACTTTGCGAGAGCTTTTTCTGTTACCTCATAATTTTCCATAACCTGGTTGACTATCAACAGTGAGTCAGAGTATATGTGTAGATGAGAGGCTCCCAAATTTATGGTGATCTTCAAATCGCTCAGTAGTGCCTGGTACTCAGCTACATTGTTGGTTTTCGGTTCGTGAAACCTGTGTGAGATTTCATGTATCACTCCTTTAGGCGTTTCGATAACAATTCCTGCCCCTGCTCCTCCTTTTCCTGCGGCTCCATCGATGAAGAGGCCCCACACCACTACTTCTTCCTTATATTCGGTGTCCTCCAAGCTAAAGCCTTCGGCGACGAAATCTGCGAGCACTTGCCCTTTGATAGAGGGTCGTGGAGCGTATGCGATGTCATGCTCACTTAGTTCGAGCGCCCACTTGGTCATGCTTCCAGACACGTCCATTCCCTTTAGGATCTTTTTCAGCGGGAGGTTCGAGAGAACCGTGATATGGTGTTCCTGGAAGTATGGGCGCAAATTTCTAGCGGCCAAAACGACGGCGAGGACCGCCTTTTCTATTGGCATGTACCGTGTTTCTGCTGGGAGAAGCGCCTTGCTGATGTAGTAAACGGGATGGCCAGAGGCATCCTCGGATCTACGCACCAGGACTGAGCTAACCGCTTGCTCAGAGACCACCAAGTAAAGATACAGAGGTTCATTTCGGAGCTTGGCGCTTAGAATTGGTGGTGAGGCTAGTTTCTCTATTAGCTGGAAGAAAGCTTTGTCGCACTCAGCGCTCCATTGTAGTCTTGATGCCGATTTTTTCAGCATTTGAAAGAATTGGGAACACTTGTCTACTGCCCTTGGGATAAAGCGGCTTAGGCGGCCATTTTACCGTTGAACGCCTGGATTTCCTTGACCGTCTTCGACGGTTTTAAGTTGGTTATGGCTTCTATTTGCTTTGGGTTTTCTTCTCAAAGATTCGAAAGTTTCCTTCAACAAGTCTTTGAGGTGGTCATCCTCCTTTTTTCTTTTGACGAGGACGTCGTCGACGTATGCTTACAAGTTTTTTCCCAACTGCTTCTTGAAGACGGCATCTATCATTCTCTGATATGTGGCTACTGCATTCTTCAGTCCGAAGGGCATGACTGTGTAGCAGAAGTTTCCCATGTGGGTCATGAAAGCGATTTTCTCTTGATCTTCTTCGGATAACCGAATTTGGTGGTATCCGAAGAACATATCTAGGAAGCTCAGACTTTCGTGGTTGGCGGTCGCGTCCATAAGTTGGTCTATCCGCGAGAGAGGGTATGCGTCCTTGGGATAGGCCGCATTAAGGTTTGTAAAGTCTATGCACATTCGCCACAATCCTGATGCTTTGCGGACAAACACCGGGTTTGTTAGCCACGTTGGATACTTGACCTCCCTTATGAATCCCTCCTTCAGCAACCGCCTCACTTCCTCTTCCAATGCCATATGCTTCTCCAATGAGGCGTTTCTCCTTCTTTGTTGTATGGGCTTGGACCTACTTTTTACCGACAAGTGATGCTCAGCGAGCTCCCTAGAGACGCCTGGCATGTCCTCCGAGGACCACGCAAACAAATCTTTGTAATCGTTGAGAAGAGCCAATAACTCCCATGCCTTCTCTTTTGAGAGGTGAGATGAGATTTTGACCTTCTTTTCGGGCTCTTCTTCACTGAGGACCACTGTTGCGTCCTCTTCAACCGCTTATGGGCGGGGTTGGCTTCCTCGTGTATCAACCAAGTCGACTTCTTCAACCACTTCTGGGTGTTTCCCCAGACACGTCCAACATTTCCTCCGGTAGGAAATTTGAGCATCTGATGACATGTGGATGGGACCATTGAGAATGTTGACAGTAGTCCACGCCCTAGGATCGCATTGTAGGCCGATGGGCAATCGGCCACGTGGAAGTCCATGAGGCGTATTTTTGTTACTCCCAACACTTGGATTTTCGAGCCCGAGAATCTCACGAGGCTGGTCGCCGACGGCTTAAGATTTTGTATACTCTTCTTCATGCTCATGATTGTGGAATAGAATAAGATATCTGTTGAGCTTCCGTTATCTACCACCGCCCTTCTGACTTTGAACTTTCTTGTTCAAAAAGAGATCACCAGCGGGTCTTGTCCACACTCTTCGACTACTAGTTCTGAGGGTGCGAAGCTAATCTACACATGTTCGCTCCTGTGAACATTCAAGCACCAGACCAGGCGGTCCCCTTCCATTCTGGGGCGTTTGCGCCCTCCTGCTATTGTTATGACCTCCACATCATCTTCGTTTAAATGAGGTTGTCGACGGGGAGGAGACCTTCTCGATGGAGGCGGCAAGCGCTCACGACGTGGAGACTGCTCCCTCCTCGGCGACCTTGACCTTTTTCTCCTTGGTGTGTGAGATCTCCTTCTCGAACTCGGCGATCTCTCCTTTTCATGCCTTCTTTCGTGGTGGTTAGGGCAGGTATCCTAGTGGTTCTTCAGGTCCCCAGGCTTTAGGTATTTGAGGCTAGCTTTGAACTCGCGACACTCTGCGGTGTCGTGAGTGGCCATCTGGTGCTAGTCACACCACTTTCGGTCGTCTTCTTCCCTATGCGTCTGGTGGGCCTCCTTCGTATTACTTCGTTCCCCTCGCCTCTCTTCTTTGTCAGTAGTAAACATTTCGCGCCTGTTGTCGCGGTTGGAGTATTGCGGCTTATAATTTCTCCTGCCTAGTGAGCGCCCTCTTCTCTTTGGCGATCCTCATTCTTTCTTCTCAGCTTTCTCAACTCTAGGGTTGATGCGCTTGGCTCCGTCTTCCGCTATTAGCACTTCTTTTGGCAGAATCGCTTTCCTAACTAGGCAATCCGGATCAGGCACCAAGACTTCAACACATGCTCTTTATTTATAAGAGCTCTCTTTAGCTCGCAACTGTGAGTCGACATTCGTAGGTTACCCGCCACTATGCTTGGTGAGTTCCTTGCACTTCGCAGGCTATGGTGTTCCACCTATCGTAGAAGCTCGTCAGCGTCTCTTCTTCTCCCTGCTTGCAGTTGATAAGCACTGACACGGTGAGCTTCCTTCTTCTCTGGGACGCGAACTTTGATGAAAACAATGTGGTAAACTGTTTGAACTTCTCAATTATCCCTTCTGGCAAGGAGGTGTACCAGGTTCGGCACTGACTGCCAAACGTGACAGGGAACACCTTGCATAGATCTGCGTTCGAGGCGTTGATCAATTTCATTTTGAGCATGAAGGCGCTTAGATGGTCCGTAGGATCTGAAGTCCCATCGTAAGTTGGCAGCCTCAGCGACGAGAAGTTGGGCGGGACCTGTGTCCTGAACAAGCTTTTGGCCAGAGGGTTTTGGAGTTTGTTGTTGTGCGTCTTTCCTTTTCCATACGGCGGTCTGAGGTGCTCCTCTAGAAAACCCAAACTGAGATCTTCCGCGCTCTCTTCTTTTTCGGACTCCTCGCCTTCTCTCTGAGCAGGGCTGCCAGGATCCTCTTCCCTTTCCCTACCCTTCGTCTTCTGCCTTATTGAGCTTTCCGACAAGTCCTTTTCCTTTTCGGACGTGCTCTTCTCTTTGAGCATTGCCAAGATCTGAGCCAGGCTTTCTTGCATGCTGGACATTTGCTGCCCCTGGCTCTTAACGCGATCTTCCATCTCCATCTCTTCCTCTACAGTAGACATTTCCAAAACCGTGAATGCTGCTTCTTTCTACTACACCCTTGACTGGGGTCCCGGAGCTCACTTCCATCCTTTCTTCAGTGCTTCACTCTGCCCCACGGTGGGCGCCAAATTGTTTGAGCCTAGAATGTTATAGGCGCTAGAAGGAGGTGCGAGTGAGGCGTTTGTTCTTGATGTTGGGTGCCCTCCTAACCACTGCAAAACAAGGGTCCGTGTGTGGTTGCCCAGGACACTCTCCAATGCTTAAGTTAGATAGAGAAGTAAGAATGTGTGTTTATGTTTGGAGAGAGGGAAAGTAGTTGAGGCTACCATTAAATGCTCTGTCAGGCGTCCTAACTAGGTATTGCTTTACCAGAACCGCCTACGGCTACTAATCAATTCTCGGTCCTACTTGTTTGAGGCATGTATCTCTTGGAGAGATCTCCTCCTGTCACGATCAATATTTTATGTCAGGCAGCATGCCTATGCATGTCCCGTCTCTAGGCTAACCGCACGTCACACATCAGGCCTCCCTCTGGGCCTGGCTCGGCTATCTCTATTGGGCCTAAGGTCGAATATCGCTCAACTATGGGCCCAACAGAAATATTTAATTATTATATTGTTTTGTTGCCTCAAAGAAATTAATCAGGCTACGAAAAAAAAAAGAACGAAAAAAAAAAGAACAGTAGATTAGAACACAAATCGAAAGAAAGACAGCACAGGAGGCATATAGAGAGTAGAGAGAGATAGAGAATGAGCAAGCCAGAGAGAGAGGCTTCTTTCATCGGCAAAACATAAAAAAAGGGCGAAGTTTTCTCAGCAACCCACCACCACCAGCACAGTCGAAGAAGAGGACACCACACGGTGGCGCCTGCTCTCCGGCGAATCGGACAAAGAGGACAAAGCAAAACCCCGAAATTCACAATCATCGCTGACAATTCTCCAGGTTTCCCCCTTTTCTTTCTTTCTTTATCATTGAAGACAAAAAGTTTTTAAAAAAATGGAATGGGTCCTTCCTTCCTTCCGTTGACAGTGTACTTCTAGCCGCCTCTTTATCAGAAAAGAATATTTCAAAATGGGTAAAGAGATTTGGAACTTGTGGTGTGAATCTGAACTGTGGGTTTATCCGAATCAGGTGTTTATGAGAGTTTGTAAATGAGAGGTGAGGGGAATCAGAATCATCAGGAGGGAGACGAGTACGAGGACGAGGAATTGGTGGCGGTGGGTTCCAGAAATGATGGACCTTCTTCCAATATCTCTACAGCTAACAGCAACAGAACTAACAATAACACAGGTAAAATATGATGGGCTTCTTTTGGTTCTTCGTTTCACCCCCCTGCTAGATCCAGTTCTGTTTTACTTTGCTTTTGTTCCCTTTTAAGAATTCAAAACCTTGTTTTTTCGCCTCCTCTGAGACTTGCTGTCGCTTGCTGGGGTACTGAATTCTCATTTCTGAATTCTGGGCATGGGAAAAACTTGTAGCTTTCATGTTAATTGTGTCTGTTCTAAAAACTGGGGGTTGTTGAGCTTCCCACTCAATTTTGTTCTGAATCAAGTTCTTGTCTTTTGGTGTCTTGATGTGGGATTTTGGTGTGGCAGCAGATGGGAAGAACAGTGACAAGGCTAGTGCTGTGAGATCTAAACATTCTGTGACAGAGCAGCGACGGAGGAGCAAGATCAATGATAGGTTTGTAACTTGTTCCTGAGGTCTTCTAACTTATTCCTTAGCTTCTATTGTGTTTTTGAAAAGTTTGGTTATCCTATACTTGGTATTTGTCCATTGAGAAGTTAAATAGAATTGATTTAAGAATGGGGGTATCTAATATTTAATCAATCTCAATGCCTTTCAGGTTTCAGATACTCAGAGAACTTATTCCTCAATGTAATCAGAAGAGAGATACGGCATCCTTTCTATTAGAGGTAACATTTAACAACGTTACTGAATGGTAATCTACTAATAAATTTGGTTTATGAAGCTTGTTATTTTGCTGACCAGAAACCAACATGCAGGTGATTGAATATGTCCGATACTTACAAGAAAAGGTGCAAAAGTATGAAGGTTCCTACCAGGGGTTGAGTACTGAGCCGACAAAGTTGATGCCATGGGTAAAGCTCTAAGCTTTTTCTGTACAGAGTTCACCTGCATGTTTCTGCCCACCACTCCATTTCAGACACTATACGTTTCTGATGTTGACTGCTTGCCTTGGCTGCCATTACATGTTACGATGTTATGTGTCATTTTACGGATTTTTTGGCTCGTGGTATGTGGGCTACCACCACAATGCTGGTGTGCTCAATCATGCACATTGGTTCTTTAGTATCTATGGATGTCTGGTCTTGTGTGTGCAAATTTGCACATGGAACATACTTGAGAAATCAAGAAAAAAGGACATCTTTATATTGGCATGCTTTAATATCCCAATAATGGAGACTTCCTGATTCTGATTGAACTTCTTTTCATTCGCCCTACCCTCCCCTTCTGTTAGTCATGTGATGTGTTCACTCCACCTGCTTAGGATTCCCTTCAATAAAAGGTATATTGTTGATTTCATGTCCTTAGACATCATTCAGCTATGGTTTTAGTTCTTAACTCTTGATTGGTGTGTTGGAGTTTATTATTTATTTTACTTAGAAAATGTTATGTTTATTAGTGAGAAGATTGACACCTGCTGGCACTCCTTGAAACAGAGAAATAGTCATTGGCGTGTTCAAAGTTTTGTTGGTCATCCACAAGCCATAAATAATGGTTCTGGTTTAGGACCGGTGTTTCCCAGGAAATTTGATGAGAATAACATTGCTGTTACCCCCACCATGCTTGCAAGTGCACAGAATACTCCTATGGAACCTGATCCATCACAAGATGCAGCATGCAACAAAGCCATGGATCAGCACCAACCTGACCTAACAAACAAGGGCTTCTCTCTTCCCACCAGGCGCTTGCAAACAACTATCCCTCTTCAACAAGCATACTCAGATCCACAATCAGTCGAGTGTGCTGTGACTGGAGATTCGCTGAACCAGGCGGAGGAACTGAGTATTGAAGGAGGGACAATCAGCATCTCCAGTGCCTACTCTGAAGGGTGGGTTTCATCCTTTCTACAGATGCGTGCTTCCAGTTTTACGTCTAATTCCTAATGATTGTGGCATTCTGGGTATATCAGGTTGCTGAATGCCTTGACACAAGCTCTACAGACTGCAGGAATAGATCTCTCACAAGCAAACATTTCAGTGCAAATCGATCTTGGGAAACGAAGCAACAGAGGGTTGGCTTCTGGGACATCAGCTAATAAGGTAAGATTGCGCAATCAGGATCAGATGAATCCTCATCGAAGAACAAAGCAAGTTAAATTTGGATACACGTTGTTTGGCCAATAATATTATCCTATCTTCTTCCTTCCAGGATATTCAGAACCCTGTTGCGAACCATCAATCCACAATTCATTTGAGGGATGTAACTAGTGAAAGAGACTCTGACCACTTCCTGAAGCGCCTGAAGACTTAGTCTTTGCTCGGGTTACTTTTTCTACCGTCCTTTTTTACCCTTTGTAATGCTTATTTTTTCCTTTCATTTTCTTGGCTCTATTGGGAATTTGGGATCATGGTGATTCATTTTTAAGGCCTATTAGGTTATATAAATATATTTTTGCTTGTTCCATGGTGTTTCCCTCTAGATTGCCTATAAAAGATACCCATTGCTTGTATTGTGCAGTGTCCTACGTCTTCTATTCTATGAGATACAACTATATGTATATTGATGGATCGGCTATTCTGACACTACTGTTTGTTTACACTGGGAACCACAGTTTTGTGTTCAGCTCAAGGGGCTGGTTGGTGAATGTGCGAGACATTCAAGTGGGTTTGAGTAGAAATAATCCTCCTTGAAGGGTTGATCTGGGATCTTCAATCTCTCTTTAGGCTTTCCCATACGGTTTCCAGCATGAGCTGCCTTCATTATGAAGCAAAACTCGCTCCAGCTTCGTTTCCCAATCTTGTATTGATCAATCAAGCTCACCAGAAGCTTTCTGTCTACTGTAATGGTTCTTCTGAATCCCAGGTACCTTTTCCCAAGAGTAACCAAGCCAAGTGATTCAGAGTTCAGACCATTATGAAAGGAAACAAAATTCATTCAGCAGCAACTTGTAAACAAATTTATTTTTTATACCTTCGATGGCCTTCCACAGCATATGCCATGTTCCCACCGAACGTCGGAACAAAGATATCACTCTCCACCGCAACAATGTAGTCCAGAGCTGCCATTGCATTTGAATGGTTTTGAAACTGGCTGAGATCTGATGAATCGAGCAGTGTTTCCTTTCTTACCTGTATTTTTTCATATCATAAAGAATGAACCAGCTGACAAACAAACCATAGAATTTGAACAGTGGGAAACTAATGATACCATGTTTGGGAAAGCTTCTGCCAGCTTTGCTATTCTGGCTTCTCCTCCGTATATTTCCCCAGAAGCAATATAGATCTGGATGTTTCTGTCAATCCCCAGTGCCTGCAATCCCAATGCAATTTCATCGGGCATTAATGGGCACAATCCAGCTTTCCTTTTCTTGCGAGGATCTGCTATGCTCTTCCACCAAGGGTAAGACTTCCTGTTTAATTTTGTTTATAAACTAGAATCACAATCTTCAACAAGCATTTGGAAAGCTATTTAACTTGCTGGGTTGCTGACCTCAATGTCATCACCTCCACAATCTCATCATGGGACAAACCAAGCGTACAACCAGTAAAGGACAACATATCCATCTCGTATCTCAGATGAATAACTAGGAAAGGACCCTTCTGCTTTAATCTTCTGACAATCTTTCTTCCCACCTCCTCAATATGAGGAGTGAATCTCAATGCTTCATAGCAGGCTCGACATCTGGTCTTTTGGAACTCTTCAGGGGGTCCATTGTTTGCAATCCTTGCATCTGCTTTCAGGAAATGCAGCACTTTGTGCTTTTGTATCTGAGGAAGGATCGTATTGTAGTAATAAGACATGTTGGGAAATAAGATGGGTTCCATAGAAGTGAGAGGTTGTGATTCCAGTCTCCTCTTTTCCTCTGAAGGCAGTTCCTTCAGTATCCTAATCTCATCTGCTAATGACCCAATAAAGTAATCCGTATCGAAGATATCCTCGAACGTACTGTTCATGAAACAAAATCTGGAATTAATAGACATACAGCATTCTTTCATCTATTCGAGGCAAAAGAACTATAGAACACCATCAAGTGAGATTCTGTTTCACCTCTGATCGTGCCAATAGGATGTGTTATCTAGCTCAGGAAATATAAGCGTGACATTCAAGAATCTAGCAATGGCAACCATGTCACAGATCTGCTTTTTGTAACAACAATACAGCAGCCCAATCAGCTAAGATAGTATAGAGATGATAAAGGGAACTTAGCAGGACAGGCTTACACCGGTTCTCATCTGGTTCAACCCGCCATTGCACGAGACCATGAGGTAACCGTTATTTTGACGTACTACAAAAGAAGAAAAAGAAAATGAAAAAGTTGCAGACTTTTGAGTTTCTGGAATGGAAAGTTCTTGGCTATTTTCTGTTGACAGCTGATGCAATACTTGACTTACTTGCTGGTACAACAGATGGAATGTTAGGCCATTGCTTTAATACCACGAATCGATCCTTCAATGTTGCTGACTCCATAGTACAGATAAATGCTACCACCACGATTGCAGGTATTAGTAAACACAACTTTGAACGTGATTGTGGAGGAGAATGATTAGATGAAGGAGTAACTGTTGAATTGTGCAATGTTTCAGCTTTGCCCACTGGCTTAGATGCCTTTTCCTTCTCTAACAAGTCAGCAGACTCACATGGCTCATCTCTATCATCCTTTTCCTTCTGAGGCATTATGATAATAACTAAGATATTGAAGATAGGAATACCTTACCAAAGTTAAAAAGAGTTTATGCCCTGTCCTGGCTTGAACCCAGGAAATGATTCCTTGAAACAAAGTTCGAGGAACCACCTCTGGCAAACAGGCAGAGTGACGATTGTTTTGAGTGTATTTTCTCTTAAAAGAAAAGGGGTCAAGAAGTATTGATGAGATTTGGAAAATGTTTTTCATGTTGTTTCCTGTCCTGAAAGTGAACATGAAGCATTAACTAATTGAGGTTACCATTCATGAACATCAAACAATTGAATCTTGTTTCTTATTTTATTATTATTATTATTTTATAAAAGCTTGTTTAATTCATTTGAATAGACCGCAAACAAAGAGAAAAACCATCCTGAAGAAACTTCAATGGAAGCTCTTCTTATGCTTCCGTACTTCATTCATTAGCCATTAATGCCAGAAAACAAAGAAGGTGATGATCAACCCGCGGGCTGACTCAGACCCGGTCAAACTAGTGGGTCAAGGGTTAATGGGTCACCCGTTTTAGCTCGAAAATATGAAAATAGTCATTATATTGTACTTATCCTGATAAATTACATCAAATCTCATCTAACATATGAGTTATAACATATATTATTCCACCAAAATAACATGAACATATAGTGAAAATTCACACACACTTATATAACATATATATTCAAATGTTCAACTTAGAATTCCAGAGATTGAGTTAGGTGAAATGAAAAATCGGAAAACGCGCATTTCGCAAACCGAAGAAAAAATGACACAATTTGATCTCCAACCTGGTACCTTGTAGCGGTTGACCCGGCGAGTGCGTGCGGCCCGTTTTTTTCACCGGGTTAGGGTCAAAATAGGTCGACCCGCGAGTTGACAACCTTGTGAACATGTCATAGTTAATCGTTGACATGTGTAAAAGATATTACATATAAAAATCATCTTGTACGAATAATTTGAGATTCCAATTAATGTAGGAAGAATTGACACTGAATCTTCTTGAGTATTGTTGAGATTCATTCATAATGAAGAGAAGGAAGATCCCCACTTCTGACAAGGAAGCTTAGCATGAAACAAGTTCTCTTGAACTTATAGGGGCAATCCTTACTGTTAGAAACCCACATTATCCTTATTGTTATTTTTATTAATAACTAGGTTGTAAGTCCGTGCGGAGCGTTCAATTCTTATTTTTTTAACAGTTTTATTTTTGTAAATACAGAGTAATATGTTAAACAAAAAATAGATACTCATGCAGTATAATTTTTTAATTATATGAATAGAAATATGAAATTTTATAGCCTAAGATAATCACATATCAACCCGCTAAAGAAAGGTAGGGTCGAGCCCCATCTAACCCAACCCAGACTTCAGCGGGTTTTTAATAATCCTCCCCTCTTAAAGACTGACCTTGCCCTCAAGGTCGAATGTCGGATAATTCTGACGAATGGTCTTCGTGTCTTCTCAAGTGGCATCTTCGACCTCCACTTGTTGCCAACGGACCAAGCTCTCCTCCACCAGCTTCCAACCACGTCGAACCCAGCTAGTATCAAGCACCTCCAGCAGTGTCAGCTCCACCCTCCATCATCGTTCACCGGTAGACTGAGCAGTGCCTCCGGTGTCTCAGCTCTTCGATATATGCGCAAGGACGAGACATGAAATGTCTGGTGAATGCGTGTTGTCGCCGCTAGCTGCAACCTGTACGCCACCTCTCCAACCCGCTCCACCACCTGGCACGACCCAAAGTTACGAGTGGCAAGCTTCTGGTAAGCTCTCTTGAATACAGACGTTTGGCGGTATGGATGCAGCCTGATTAGCACTCAATCTCCCACCGCAAACTCCTCCTCTAGTCGACTAGAGTCAACAAGTTGTTTCATCCGGTTATTCGAAGCTGCCAAATTTTCCCTCGGCCTTTGTAAAGTCTCATCTCTTGCCACCATCCACGATCCACGATGTCTACAGTGCTAGACCCGTCCGGGTACTGCACCAAAGTCGGTGAGGTTCGACCATATAGGGCCTTGAACGGAGTCTTCTGAATCGCGCGGTGATAGGTGGTGTTATACCAAAGTTCCGTCCACGACAACATAGCCAGCCACCCTTGCGGCTATGGATGCGCAAAGCATTGCAGGTACTGCTCCAGGTGCTTATTGGCCACCTCTGTCTGTCCATCTGACTGAGGATGATAAGCAAAACTCATCCTCAGCCCCATTTTGGCCATAAAGAGAACAGTACATCCTGATCACAAACAATGGACCTAGGATACTCGTGGTGCCTGACGACTACCCACACGAACTCTGCCACGATCATGTAGTATATGGATGAGCCAAGACCAGGAAATGTATGTACTTGTTGAGTCGATCCACCACCACCAACAGCACTGTCTTACCTCCCGATGGCGGTAAACCGACTACGAAATTCATGCTAATGTCCTCCCACACTCTCTCATACACCGGCAATGACAGACGATCATAGTAGGGAGGCCTTGACATGTTGACAAGTCTCACATGAAGCCACATATGATCTCACCTCATTCTACATCCCTAGCCAATAAAACTACCCTCTTATCTTCGTCAAGGTGCACTCTTGTCCCCAATGCCCCTCGACGAGAGAATTGTGGTACTCTTGCATGATCTTCGTTGCTAGAGACGACCCTACAAGTAGTAAAACCTGCCCTTTGTAGAACATGATAACACTCAAAATGTTGTTATTTGGAAACCATATTTAGACTTGTTTTGAGTCATTTTATGTTCCTCATTGCCAATATATCGTCAAATATACCATTGATTCGTTCCTCATATGAAATATTACTATTCTAGGGTGTATTAGATTATATGTATGATTTAGGTACAAAAAATGTGCACTTATGGACCAAAACCGAGAGATCACGGTTGAAGGCAGGGAGATCACGATCATAAAGAGAGGATGTGAACCAATGCTAGAAGATCGCAACTGGCACGATCGAGATCGAGATCGTGGCCCCGAAGTTCTGAGCCGAGGGAGCAAACTTCAGGAGCAGCCAACGAAAGAGGTATAGAAAGTCTTGGCAATCGACTCGCGAACTCCGTTAGACCTGTCTGCGACAAAGTTCGCGGCTGCAAAAGCAAGGATTGTGACCGCGATGCAGCCCGTGAACCCAACTACCAGCAAGGCGTAAATGGCAACCTACACATCGCGGCCTCAACCTGAAAGATCACAAGATGTTAGCACAAAAGGTGATAAACCTATACACTTAGTACAAAATGGTCACAAACCTTTAATTTTGCACGTTTCAATAACAAATATTTGGACGAATAAAAAAATGTACATTCCGTCCATCTCCATCTAAAAAACCGTTACTTTTGCCTAGTCAGCATGCCACATCACTAAAAATATTAATGAAAAATCAATGGCCAGACCAAGTCAACCCAAACTCAACCCAACCAGTTGTCGACTCAACCCCCTCATTGTCGTCGCCTACCCCACCGTGGACCCTACCTCTGCCAAAAACATCTCCTCACTTTCCCAAAATCTTTTGTCCAACGAACCTTCCCTTCACATCCAAACGAAATCCCCATAAGTTGCATATTTCCGTTTATTCCCAATCGACATAGAACTAATTCCATTAGAACCCAACCAAAAAACAACTAGAAACCCATCGGTCCATCATGTCCAATTTGAACTCTTCACCTCCATATCCATAATTCTCCTCTCCACACTATCAATTCCATTAACAAAAAGAGGAGTAATATCCCCAATTCCAGCAACCTTTTGAGGTAGAATCTGTTCCAACCAGGAAACCCCATCGCCATCAATTTCACGAATGTTGTTGATGTTAACGCTATCAATCTCCTCTGTGCGATATTTGAGGGAGATGGGAAGACAGTGAGCTTGAAACCCCAATTTCATCTCGAGTGGGTAGTTCGACACCCAACATGCATTTTGGGCTGGTCGTGAAGCTTTTGTCGGCTCCTACTCTTGTAATGGCAGGGGAAGGAGGGAGAGCGGCAGTGTGGAAAGTGGCAGTGGTGAGCAGCGTGGGGAGTGTGTTGGGGATTGTGCTACTGGGTTTGGCCGGTAACTTTTGGGGATTTCCACCTGATGCGAAGGGAAGGTTCGTCGGACTAAAGAATTTTGGAGAGTGAAGAGATGTTTTGGCAGAGGTACTGTCGACGATAGGGTAGACGACGGTGATGAGGGGGTTGAGTCACCAACTGGTTGGGTTGAGTGTAGGTTGGCTGGGTTTGGTCATTAATTTTTTATTAATATTTTAAGTGACGTGGTAGTATGCTGATTGGGGAAAAGTAACGATTTTTTAGATGGAGATAGACGGAATGACATTTCCGTTAGTCATCCATACATTTGTTATTAAAACGTGCAAAATTTAAGGTTTGTGACCGTTTTCACTAAGTGCATAGGTTTGTGACCTTTTGTGCTAATTACCCCAAAGATCACGCCCATGAACTCGCCCAAAGCCTATAAAACTATAAATAGGGGCTTCCTCCCCCTAAATTAAAGAGCTGAACTTGATTGAGAATTTGTGGTTTTAGGAGAGAGAAAGTTATAAAGAGAAGTTGAAGGAAGGAGAAGAGGGAAGAGGAGAAGGAGGAAGGGAGCTATCTCACATCAAGACTTCTTCTATTTTCTTCCATGTACCCTCTTCCCCCCTTTATGTTGTAATTCTCTAGGCATTAGGGGTGAAACCCCCAACACCCTAGATTTATGTTTTGAATATAGATGTAATTGTGTTAGGATTTATTAATGGATATGTTTGTTTATTGATTATATGCTTCATTTATGCTTGATTATACTTGGGTATGTCTCCCAACTCTACCCTACTAACCTACAACTGAATTAACACTAGGTGAGAATTTTAGGGTTAGACTGGGTAGTGCCAGATGGCTAATTAAGGGTAGATGAATGATCTTTCGGGTTCCTTAGTGGACGTGGCTACATAACCCCTGCTATAGGAATTCCCTCTTAAAACAATCCTAGAGAGTTCGCATGCGTTCTGGTCGAAGCACAGATCTAGTATGCATGATAAGTTAAACTTATCAAGAGGAACTATGAGATCATCCCTAGCACGTAAACTTAGACTGAGATGACATTTTGTGGGCCGTGTTAGGAGGAGGGAGAGTAATCATTAAAATTCCCAGATTAAAGAGTTCTGCATCCTATTCCATAAACCCAACATAGTTAGCCATTTGCTCTAACCATTACGATGAGTGTGCAAGGTGCAAATCCGTCGAGAAGAAGACCATCTTGAAGTAGCAGCATAATTGTTCCAATTTTGGAAGCCTGTTGTGGATCAACCATTAAATCACGTTGAGCTCATTGCTTAAGGTTAGTAAATGAGCTCAACTCGCTAGCCATAGGTGGAACAAGTGCAATATCGAGTGCAGGATCAGGATGCCATTTAAGGCATCATGACAGGATCCTCCAACAATGCTCATACTTGAAAGCCTTATTTTTCATCTCTGACTTATAAATGTATTTCGCCATGATCATCTACATATATTACATATGTAATATTATTTCATAATCACGATTAAGAAAAAATAAAATTCATAACTTGAAAAAGAAATGGACTTACCAAAACATCTGCAGTTTGGTCACTAGATCTTTGCTCGTTACCTTTCCTCAATACCCCCTTCCATGCGCTACACGTCAAACCTATTATCTTGAATCGTGACACCGTCGATAGTTGGGAGCGATCATAAAGTGAAATGACCGTTTTGAACACTCACCTATCTGTCGCATGATATTTTGCACCAAGCTTGACATAATGCTATGTCTTAATCTTCGGACCCATTGACACCTCTTTTGCTCATTACGAAAAAGCACAAGATGAGAAAAAGTTTGGAGGCTAGGTGTTTGGAGAAAGTGTACGGAATAAACTTACTTGACACCGTAAGGGGGATATTGCAGAAAGTTTAACTCATCATCGGCTCTCCGGTATGGACGTGGTTCTTGAGGTGCGAACATTGGAAGATGCTCCCAAACCCACAGCTGTAGGATGAACATCGCAGCACCAACTTGTTTTGCTCCCACCTTCGAGCAAGTGCACAGCTCCCGGTATATGCCAGCTAGCACGGCCGATCCCCAACTCTTTTCCCCGATTGCGTCCCAGTCACCAGTGAGCAATGGCAACCATATGCCTTGAATCCACCGGTTTGACTTGTCGGGGAACAGAAATCCACCCACCAGACCAATGAGGTAGATGCGTTCATAGCGCTCCACTTGATCTTCCGGAGTCTCGTCATTGATTTGCACCTCATTCTGGATGTGAGCTACCAGCCACGGGACCAACACTTGTCCCGCATTCAACGGTGGATGGCCCCGTCCTTGAATTGGTGTGGTGGTCGGCATGTCTAATCCCAACTCAGCAAGAATGAGCGGCCCCCAACCTCCTTCGGGTTTGGTAGTGGGCCCAATGATGGCATCTCCAGTAATCGGCACCCCGGTGAAGATCGCCACGTCTTTGAGGGTGATCGTCATTTCCCCCTCCGGAAGGTGGAACGTATGGGTTTCGGGACGCCATCGCTCCGCCATTGCCGTAAGCAGATCGTTGTCGATTTCGATCCGCATGAAATGGCGCAACATACCCAACCCGGTCCTCTCTATATAGGGCGCCAACCGTGGATGCCAAGGGGGCAAGTTTGTGGTCCCTTTATGAATGACGGGAATAAGTGATTCCTTCAAAAAAATAGGAAAAACATCAATTTGTTAGTTTAAATAAAGCAAAATAAAACCTTAGAAAATAATAAAATAAAGCAAATAAATCATAAAATTACAGGATTGTTATCCCAAATAGCACGGGAGCGATGAGCTTCTTGATCGGTTAAGAGTCTCATATCTCTTGGCCCATAATGGATATACAATCGAGGATCGTATATCTCGGCACCCATCTATAAAAAAAGTAATCAAATCAGAGATTGTTTTGATAAAAAAATCACAAAATCAAATTGATTCGATTAAAAATAAGAACACAAAAAAAACCTACACGAAGAGCCTCTTCGTCCATTTTTTGGCAGAAGCCGGACAGAGGTTCGACGGGTTACGGTTTGTAAGGGACGGGACCTTAGCGGGACTAGGGCTTTAGGGTCACACTTTAGTAATTCTTTCTGATGTGGAAGATCGGATTTATCCGCAACCACAGAGCGTACTTAGAACGAGACTAGAGCGGATAAATTGAGGGAGAAAGAAGTGAAATGGTTGTGGTGTGAGTTGTAAGTGGTGGGGGGGGGGGGGGGGGGGGGGGGGAAGGGTCTATTTATAGTTGGGGGAAGGGATATGCGGAATGTAACTGGGGAGCATTCACCGCCTCAGTCAGAAACGGTGAAGTGACCGCGTTTCTCGAGGACGGTGAATGGGCGCGGATCGAGTGACGTGGCTTAGCATGAGGCGTCGGATCTGGGAAGAAAACCACGATCCGCGCCTCACCGCATCCGACGGCCACGGTGAACGCGGCAGCGACGTGGATCGCTGACGCAAACAAACACGGGGTATTCACCGTGTTTGTTTAACGCGGTGAATACACCGCGTTTGTCCACGTCAGCGATCCGCTTCGCTTCATCGTGGCCAATCACAACGGTTTAAATGTCACCACTTTTAATTAATACGGTGATTGATTCACCGTTTCCTTCTAAAATGGTGATTACCTTGCTGGTTGTTCACCGTTTTAGATGAAGACGGTGAATACGTCACCGTTTTTTTTTAAACGGTGAATTATTCACCGCGTTTGTCGAACACGGTGATTATATTCACCGCGTTTGTCGAACACGGTGATTATATTCACTGCGTTTGTCAAACACGGTGAATGCCAAACATGTGTATTTTGGGAAATTTTTTATAACTTATGTATTTGGGGAATTTTTTTAAGAACATGTGTACTTTGGGATTTTTTCCGAGATATGAGATGGTGTATGAAATGAGGGGTTGGATGAGAGTTTCATAGAATTTTTTCCAGCCGTTTTATGACCGTCCACAACCGTTATTTCGATGCTCGTGCTTTATAGCCGTTGATATTTAATTTCAAAATTTTGTATGTATTTTTTTGGTTTCAAATGACAACCAAGCGGTCCAATTTCTACTGAAAATGGGTCTAAATTGTTTTAAAAACAACTAGAAAACAATTGCAAAAATTGGAGCTCACAGTTAGGGGAGGCGTGCTAGAGGTCGATTTGTCCGATGTGGCCCCTCATTTTTAGCCCCCAAATTTCAGTCTCATTTTAACTCTCAATTCTTGGGTTTAGCTTTCTAGTGGTTAATTGCCCATTTTGCCCTTTTAGCCTTTGAGTTATAGCTAGTGTTAGAGGTTCTCATATATGGCCAAAACAAATTAAATAAAAAGGATAAATGAGACAAAATATGTGACATCTTGAAAATAAAATAAAGGGAAAAAGTAAAATAAATAAGAAAATTATGCAAAATATTTCAAACTAAAAGTGAAGTTATTTATGGTTTTACTGCTTAATGGTAAACTTAGAAGTAAGACTTTTATGAACAGTAAATGTCAAATCAAGGCTTTTATATTCCAATATATATGTACTGCATAACCACTCTACAATAATATATGTACTGCATAACCACTTGACAAATGATGTTTTCTAACTGTAACAGTAAAAAAGAAAGAAAGAACACAGCTTCCAGGTCTCTTTTATCAGAAAAGTGGGGAGCTTCTAATGCTTTGTCTTGTCTGACCTTAAACCCCTTAAAGAAGGATCAATTTTTGGCAAGCATTCCTCGGGATTTAAGTAGAAGTAATCCTCTTCTTTAGGCTTGCCAGGGATCTTCAGTCTCTCAATAGGTCCACCCATTAGCCCACTGTGAGTTTTCTTCACTGAATCAGAAAACTCATCCCACTTCATTTTCCCACTTCTGTACCTGTCTATCAGTGCCACCAGAACCTTTCTATCCAGACGTATAGTCGTCTTGTATCCCAGATACCGGCGGTGGCCTTCCACAACTTTGGCCATGTGACCATCATAGCTTGGAGCAAAAATGTCGCTAGCCAATGACACAATATAATCCACTGCTGCCATCCTGTTTGAGTGGTACCTAATCTCTCCCATATCTGCGCTTGGTAGCAATGTTTCCTTTTTCACCTAACAAAGCAACAGAAATCAACCATCATCACCAGACTAAGAATTATGGACAATATCTCTGAAGGTTGTTATTTCATGATCATTAAACTGACAAACTAACCAGATTCGGATAGAAAGCTCTAAGATCGTCGAGTCTTTTGTCCTTTCCATATATCTCTCCAGCAGCAATGTAGACTTGGATCTCCGGATCTATGTCGAGTGCTTTCAGTGCAAGTCCAACTTCCGCTGGAGTCAATGGACATAGCCCTTCTTCCCTTTTCTGTGTTGAGTTTATCTCCTTCTCCTTCCACCATGGACATGCATACCTTTTCAAACAGATGATAATAAATAAGATCATGAGAGAAGAAAAACCAAATTGAGCAGATAAATGAAGAAACCTTGAATCACAAACCTCATTGAGGTAAGCTCTTTTACTTCTTCCTTATCAAGCTCTTTGGTGCAACCAGTGAATGCCAACATATCCTTTTCGAATCTAAGATGAAGAGCCAAGAAGGGACCTTTATTCCTCAAGATGCTCACAACCTTCTTCCCTATTTTCTCTATGTGTGGAGTGAACCTTAGACCTTCATAGTTAACCCTGCACCGCATCTTCTGAACATTCTCGGGAGGCTCATTGTTTGAGAGTCTAGCATCAGTCTTCAGGAAATGGACTATTCCAAACTTTTTGAAGACTGGCAGAACCTGTTCTTGTCGCCCAAAAATTTCAAGTACTCAGAACTTAAACCAAAGTTTCAAGTATGGGAAGGTTGGACTGTTAAAATTGAAAAAAGCAATAAAACTAACCGTGCGATAGTAATAGGACATGTTACCCCAGCTACGAGTTGCCATTTGATACAGTGGTTGAGTCTTTAGTTTTTCCTTCTGTGTTGGGGGCAACTCTTTCACAATCCTGAGTTCATCTCTCAAGGAATCAATGAAGTGATCCACATCAAATATGTCCCCAAACTGACTGCAAAAGGTAGCGGCATTGATTAATTGAGCAAGAAACTGTTGTTCAAGTAAATTTGGGTTTATCACCACAAGATATCTTGATTTTTAATTTGAGTTCATCCACCTGTTATCTTGCCAAAATGAGGTGTTGTCCAGTTCAGGAACAACAAGTGTCAGGTTTAAGAATCTTGCTATAGTAACCATGTCTGAAATCTGAAAGAAATCAGCTTTCAGAAAAACCAAAGACTAAACCAAAATCAACAAAAGGAAACAAGCGTAAAAGATGTCTTAAAAGTTTTTCAAACTTACTCCTGATCGCATTTGATTCAATCCTCCATTGGATGAGACGGTCAGATATCCATTGTTGCGGTAAACTCCTGAAGAGAAGGTAAAACCAAAGTAAGATGCTTTTACTCTATGGAGCCATAATTTTGACAGGAGTTCAGAGCAAAGGAAGAAACTCTTTGTACTTTCAGGTATAAGAACAGCAGGATGGGCAAATTGAAATTTCGCGGTGGCTGGCCACTTGGCATTATGGAAAGCCATTGACTGCATTCCACAAGCCCACATCACAATCAGTAGCAGTGTGATTCCTATTGTCCAGAACCTGGATTCTCCAGGTGTAGAAGAAGCAGGATTACTCGAATTCGACTTGTGAGCTTTCACTGCTCTGATAATCAGGTTCCTCAGCTTCTCACATTTGATCCCTCTGCTGACAATCTTGTACCCAATCTTGCCACTTGGTTTCTCCTCGGACTCGCCTGGAAGAACAACCTTGGTACAACTAATTTTCTCCATTTCTTAGAACTGCCTGTCTGGTTCTCTGAGCAAATAGAAAAAGCCTGCGAGGTTCTAGAAATGTGACATGTTGCAAAGGTAAGATTCTTCCTTTGACTTTGGTGTATTGGGATTGCCAATGGTGGACTGTAAAACCAAATTCCTGAAACTGTTTTCCAAGAATCTGGATTTTGGCAAGCACAAGACTTTTCTTTTGGCTTAGAGAGTATATGCAGGCTTTTAATTAAAGGGAAGGAACAAGATGGGATGTTGTTGTTTGTAGTAAAGATGAAATCTTTTTCACTTGTTCTTGTTAATTCTGTGCAAGTAATCACATGGGAAGATTTGTTATCAGCAGAAAGTTGAGATCTTTAATGTTCCCAATGGGTACTGATTTTTAACTGCAGTAGAAACAGGGGGAGAGGAAATGGAGTTTCTTAAGTGATTCAGACATTTATCAAACAAAAAAAAAGTGATTCAGACATGATGGGCAGCCCTTCTTCTTCAGGCACACAAATATTGATTCATTATGGGCTAGCTAGGCAAGTCTACTTCCCCCCAATTTAAGTAGGGGATGTTCCATTTATCATTAATATTTATTATGATCATTATCATTCCTTAAGTATGGGATGCTCCTTTGTCATTAATGCAAAATTACTGTCAAAGCCGTCAAATTCACTGTCAGTATCCTAACCATTATTTTCACAATTAATAATTGGCTTATGTCACACAAGAGTATAAAAAGCAAACATTCAGATTTATGACATGGGACCAAGAAAGAGAATAGACATATTGATCATCTGCGCATTTGTGGCACAGAATAATGGCTTTGGTTTGCCAAACACATTCATCGAGATCGGGATATCCGTCGCGAATCGATTTGGAGTCACCATCAACCGTGCTTTGGGGTGGGTCGAACACCCTTTTCCGGTTTTAATTTTTTTTTTCTTGTTAAAACCAGAATTCTGGTCTGCGAAATTTAGATTGTTATAGGTTCGGGAGTACGGTTACGTGTGGGGAAGTGTATACACACCCCACAACGCCCCATAACGGGTACTACGTAAATCGACAAGTTTTTAGAGATTGGGTGTAATGTTAATTGTGATTTGTTTATGTATTTAATTGTAGGATTTTAATAATTTTGGGGTGTATTTTTAAAGTTCAATTGGACGTAAATTTTGAATTGTTGTAGTTACTTGATAATTTTCACGCCTATTGACGTAAAAATATTTTTTAGATTGGTTGGACTTGAACCTATTGGTTGCCTACTTACCCGACTTAGTTGGGATCAAAGTCCATGTAGTTCGTTGTAATTGTGAGTTTTAAATGTTGAGTCCCACACGTTGAAATGTGACGAAAATGTTTTAGCTGGACTCGAACCTATTGGTTGCCTACGTACCCGAGTAGTCGGGATCAAAGTCCACGTAGTTCGGTGTAATTGTGAATTTTAAATGTTGAGTCTCACACATTAGGAATGCGAATAAAATTTGTTAGTTGGACTTGAAACCTATTGGTTGCCTACGTACCCGGGCTAACCGGGATCAAAGTCCACGTAGTTCGATGATATTGAAGTTTTTAAAATGAGTGATTTGAAATGTGAGCGTTCTTAACACGTTCTATTGATCGTGGCTAAGATGATAATTTGAGTTATTAGGTAATGTATTTATGATGTTTCAACTTAGTAGTTGAATGGTAAAACATCTTTCAAATGATTCCATCGAGAGTAACTATTATGGTTTATTTATCATGATTTCGTATTAAGATATTTTCTAAGTAAAACGAGCATGGGTATGAATAATGAAGCCAAAGCGAATGGGTTAACGAAGGTTTTTAATATCTTGAAATGTTTAGAGGTATACATAATTTGGTTAAAGCAAAAATACTAGCACGATTAGATGACACGAATATTATGTATTAACGATAAACACGAAGAAAAGTAAATGAGGAGATTGAAGTTTCAAGTATGATAGCATAGCTTAGTGGTTGGTTGCTTTGATTTGAAGCAATAAGTGATGACAGGGTCTCTGGTTCGACACTTCACAGTTTCGAATTTTTTTTATTATTTCACAGAAGCAATCCGCGAGTGGCAGCGGGTAAATTAGTCGAAATTAGAGGGGTATTTTGGTCATTTTTTGAGTCCGGGTGTGTGAACCCGTTTTTGGAGGCCTAACCTAACCCTAGCTGCTCACATTTTTCACTCGTTCTACCTCTCCTTTTTCATCCTCTACAATCGACGATCCAACAAAAGAAAGAACGAAACAAACCTTTCTCCTTCCATTCTTCTTCTCACTCGATCCCCTCTTCTTTCTTCGCAATCCATCTCCTCATGACTCCCATTCCTCGACCTGTCTTTCCTCTATTATTCCCTAGGAACAACGAGGGGAAGGACCGAAGGGAGGGTCGACAGCGTCTAAAGGAAGACGGCGATCGACACCGATGACGACACCAACGAGGGTGACGGAGGTAAGATCATTTTCATTCACATGCATGTCGATTTTAAGGGGTTTGATTTTGATTTTCTTTGGATTTAGGGGTTGTTTAGGGTTCTGATTGTATTTTTTGGTTTCTTCCATTTTGGCAGAGGGTGGAGAGAGAGCATGACTGGACAGAAAGAGGGTCACCGCCGACGAGCACTGACAGTGTTGCCGACGGCAGACATGGCAGGTGAGTAAGATTCTGGGTCCGAATTTATAAATTTTGTTTTGCTGGTTTTAATTCTAGAAATTTTGGTTTGAGATGATTGAGTATGAATTCTGGAAAATTGTGGTTGTTTACATCGGTATTGAAACTGGGGATTTGTATGTATGACTGGGTTTTAACTTTTAAGACTAAGCTTGTGTGTGTATGTGATGAATTCGGAAATCTGTTCTGGGTTTTTTTTATTTTAACCTGTGTATGGGTTTAGAAATTGAAGTTTGTTTGTAATCTAGAATTATGTGTCTGATGATTAAAGCTTTAGTTTTGTATTGAGTTAGTGTTTAACGTAGTTTGGAAGGGTTTGGTTGTGTTAGTGTGGTAATTTGGCATATAAATTCGTTGGATATAGTTTGGTTTCGGTAGTCTTTGTTGTATTTGGGGGGGATCTGGGACAGATTTATGGTTTGTGGATGGTCTAAATCTGGAAATTGTGGTGAGAATGGTTTAACTCTGGGATTTTGACAGTTTTGACAAATGGTGTTGCAAATCTGAGTTTTGTGTATGGACGTGTGATTATGAATAGATTAGAGGGATTTCCCTTGAAACAAAATCGAGTCTTGCTTGTCTAGCTTAATTACAGCCTTTTATTGAGTGAAGTTTTGATGGTTTCAATCATTTGTGCTATATGCTATAAATGATGTCGCTGCTATGCATATGGAAATGATGGGTAAACAGAGTTTGTCTTTAAAGACAATATGACTAAGAATGAAAGGGATTACAATAAAGGCACAGTATATGTAAGATTTAACATATAAGTAGTAATAAATAGTGTTAAATGAGGTGTTCATGGAATGAGGTTATGATGTATGTCGATTTGGGGGTAATTTAGGGTAGGTTTCTACCATTGGGGAATTCTGGCTTTTTGTGATCATTCTAGGGGGTTCAAATCTGGAAATCTGTGTTATGGTGTTCATGATGAGTTTGATTCTGAGAATCGGTTGCAGGTGATTGTTTTGATAATCTGCTATAATGGTTAGTTTGGGATTTTTGTGATAATTGCTCAAACTTTTTAGACGGGTTTTGGTGTTGGGAGTTTTGTGTTGTTTATGATGGTTTGCTGCCGGAAATTCATATTCATGGGATTCAATTTTGGAGATCTGTGTGTTTGTTTCTGCTTTGGGATTATGTTTGCTATTTGTGTGTAAGGTTATGAACAAGAATAGGTTTAGAGTTTATAAACTAAAAGCTGGTTTAATTTGCTTGTTGATCCTAGTTTATGAAATCTGATTAGGTAGCTTAGGGTGAGTAGTTTATCTTAAGTATGTTTGTGACTGTATGCTTAACACACAGAAAACTTAGTAATTTTTATAGCCAACATGAACGTAACTAAACATATAAGGCTAGTATAATTATCGAATCTAGTTTGTTTACAATACAAAAAGCTTTAATCAATATAAACATATGTATATAGTAAAAAGAAAGCTTTGATTGCATCAGATCATGGGTTTGTTAACTTGTAATTTGTTTGAATACTGGTTAGGTAGATTCCTCCTCGAGACCATTTTTAGAGAAGGGTAGTAGTAGAGATTATATAAAATAAATGATGTTGTTGAATGATAATGGTGGCAAGATTTAGGATTACTGTATTACCAACCCTTTTCTTGTAGCTTGATGGTGATTCTAGCCTTTCCTCCAAACTTCTTGCTGCTGTCTTTGCGTCGTCTCCTCCTTTCCTGGTTTTGCTGCTTTTTGTTGTGTTTTTCTTCTTTGTGCGGCTAAAGAACAATTAAGTGAAAAGGAAACTGTTGTGTTTTCCTCTTTTCTGTGTGGCTTTTGGTGATTGTGGGATGGTTATTTGCTGTAGGAATGGGAAACGAAAGTTGCTGTGTTGTCGTTTTATTTTTTATCTAATGAAAGAGAGGAAGCATGGACGGTTTTCTTTCCACTGCATGTTCTATTTTTGGCTTTTGCTCTCTGTTTGTATGTGTTTTTGTGGCTGAGAAGAATCTGAGAATTTTGCAGGGTTTTTGCTCTTCGCTGTCTGTTTGTTCAGAGACGGGAAGGTGGGGATGAAGAAAGAAGGGAGTGGTTTTTGCAGAATTTTCGTTGTCTTGTCTTTTGATCAGAAAAGAAAAAGAAGAAGGAAGAAGAAGGTGTCAGGTAAAGGAAGAGAGTCAGGGGAGTTTTTCTTGTTGTCTGTGTGTTCCTCTTTTTTGTTTGGAATTTTGAGGAAGAAGGAGCCGAACAGCAGAAGGAAGGAAGTGAATCAGGGAATGTTTTTTTTTTTTTTTTTGTTCTGCCCTTCTTTTTGCCAGAGCTAAAGAGCTCTTTTTATAGCCAAAAATCATGTGTTGGCACAATGTAATTGGATTTGAGAGGTTATAGGGGCCGCTCTATGTTTGTGTAACTTATCGATTGGGTTGGACCGGTTTGGGTATGTGAAGTGGGCTAAACCAGTTTGGTTGACATGGGCATGAATTAGGTTACCCAATTTGTTGGGTTGGGCATTGCGCTCCCGCTCCAGAGAAATTTGCTTCTTTGTTTTTGGCGACGGCCTCGTCTAGGTTCAAGGAACGGATAACCATGGCGGCCGATGAAGTTCGAGACGCCGTACAAGTTGGTGGAGATTTTGAACAGAATACATCGACGAAGTTGGAGATCAGCTAGCATGAAATTGGATGGGGGTTGATGATTTGGTCAGCCAATTTGTTTGGTTGGGCCTTGCGTTTGATCACGAATTAGTGAACTTGGAAAGTGAAATCAAAGGAAGGAAATGAAAAGAGAAAGCGAGTAGAATTGACAGAGAAATTGGGTAGTGGTGAAATGCAGATGATGATTGAAGGGAAAGTGAAAGAGAACATAGGAAGGGAAGATGATGAGGTGTGGGGGTGTGGGCACATGTGGCACATCACAACACACGTGGCCATAATAATTATAATAAATAAAATTTATTTTTTCTCCAATTGTAAGCATTAACTAATATAAAATAATTGAAGTAAATTATGGTCTTAATTATAATAGGAAAATATCCTTCATATTCTTGAAACTTCTTAAAACAACTTCTTAAAACAAGTATGAATAATTCAATTGAGTGTAGTTCAATTGATTTTATTGATATAGTTGGCCAAATTTTATTACTAGTAATTGATAATATTGTTATAATCATGACGCTTTTTACACGCTCTTAATATCAATTCTTTACAAAATAGAAGCTTTCACGCTCTCGCTCCCGCTCCACGATCTGGTTACCTAAGGCATGATTGGTGAATTGAGGTTTTTGGGCTTTTGTGTGGACTGACCCGTTGACTGGCATTGACCAGAGTTGACTGGACTTTGACTTGGGCAGGCTTGGATCATTTTATTTTGGTAGTTGTAATTAGTTGTTATGTAATATAATTGTATTAGTAGTTTTTATTTAGTAATGTGATTGTATTTAACGTAATTGTAACTTATTTTAGTGAGATGTTATTTCTATTCCTAATTCTTCTTTTCTTTTATCTATTGAAACCAAAGTCCAATCTCATAAGACCCAATGTTTTAATAGCCAATTACACAATAAATTTTGTGACCAAAACTAAGTGAATGTTAATTCATCTAATCAAAGCATGTCATCCTTATCAAATTGTACCAATTAAGATTAGCTATTGCTATTCTCATTGATCCGCATTGTAACGATGAGCTATGGCCAACAAGACTCCTCATTCCAACACTAAAAATACATTTTTCGTTAAAAGATCATTTAAGATGTGCTATTGCCAACCTTAAACAAAAATTAAATTTTACTTCATTATATATGTTTTACCTAGGGCTGTCCATATGGTTTTGGTTTTTTGGTTTTAACCGAAACCAAACCAATTGGAAAGCTAATGGTTTCTATTTTTTGGTTTTAAACCAATAAGCAACTTAATGGTTTTGGTTTGGTTAAAACCGAAAAACCAATAGAAACCATTAAGAAACCAATAAGAACAAAATTATTTATTAACAAATTTTGTTTTTTTTACACGCATGCCAACCAATAATTTGTAATGGCCATTTATCATTATTATGACGTTTATTCAATAAAAAGGAGAAAAATGAGAATAAATATGAGTGTATGAGTATATGTTGGTTTTTTGGTTATCCAAACCAAAACCAAAACCATTAAAGCCCTTATTGGTTTTTTGCAACCGAAACCAATAAGGGTCTTAATGGTTTTGGTTTTTGGGATTTGGTTTTTGATTTTTGGTTTTTCATACTTAATGGTTTGGTTAACCAAACCAGATTGACAGCCCTAGTTTTACCCGGACAAAAAGTGGTGTCTACACTAAGATTTAGGGTATCAAAATTATTCATGCATGTTAGAATTAATGTGTTAAGGCAAATAACAATTTATTTTTCTTGGTTATTGGTTCAATTTTCTGTGTGGTTGACTAAACAAATTATTCATTTTTCGTTGAGTGTGGTCTATCTGGACCAGACCAGACCGAACTAGACCGCACAAGCGTGGTCTGGACCGGACCGTATAGTTTGTGGTCTGGTCTGTGGTCTATATTTCAACCTCTCGGTCTGGACCATATACCGTATATATGGTCTGGTCTAGACCAGACCGCACCGTTTCCCAGCCCTAACTGTCACTGTAACATAATCAAAACCGGGTTGGATCCAGTCCTTAAGCCTAAAACTTAAGGAGTTTCTTAAGTTTTTATTGGCCAATAGGAAGAGGACAGAGAAAGATAAGTCTAACCACTTAAAAGGGCAATAAAAGATATAATTAAATTTTTGTATTTAAGAGTTAATGAAATTCCAAATTAAAAGTAAAATTCGCAATTAATATTTCATGATTTAAAAAGGAAATTAAAAATGTTCACACACTCTCTCTCACTCTCAATGACATTATTAACAGTTTGCAATTACATTATCAACGATTATGAAATAATTTATTATTGATATACCCCATCATTATCAACAATTCCAGTATAGTTATCAATATTTTATGATTATATTATTAACGAATTTAGTTCAATTGCTAACGATTTATATTTTCATTATCAATGTTTATAAATGAATTATTAAAGTTATGTTACATCCTTATTAATGAGTTGAATAACATTATCATTGATTTACAACATCTTTATTATTATTGAATATTAAGTGTAAATATACAACATTCGGATATTGAAAACCATTAATAAAAAATGTGCACGTCATTGATAAAGAAATTGAATTTCATTGAGAACCAACACAAAATCAATTAAAATGTTTGGATTCATTATCAAGTGTCAAATGTAATTAAAAACGTTCAAAAATTTGTTGTCCTTTTTTTCAACACTAAAAAAATATTAATAATAAATAGGCTTCAACGTTAAAAAATAAAATTAGGTCGTTAACAATATAAGATAAATTTTTAACCATAAACATTTTCATGATTAACACATAAGAATGAATTATTAATGTTATGTCACATCATTATTAACGATTCAAATAATATTATTAATGATTTACAATATATTTATTAATCATTCATGCTTTTACGTTATATTAATGACGGAGAGGCAGCTTGCGGGGTGCGGATTTGGCAGCTTTTGCGCCAATTGCATAAGAATTTTGAAGGTGATTTATGAGTGCGGCTGACTTTTGATTTCTTTTTATTTTTTAATACTTAATTACCCCTAATCACCGGTTAATTATTAACAACCTATTAACTACCTAAATTGTCTCGGCCAATAGCAACCACTTAAGATAATTCTTAAGTTATGCGGTTTAAGGACTTGAACCTAGCCCAATCAAAACGAAGATGGAGCAGCGGTCTCTTGTGGGTTGGGGTTATGGGCTTCGTAAGCCCGAGCTGGAAACTATAGGGTTTTGTTGCCCTATTAGCCCATCATAATATGGATAATGATAATCTGCTTTTGATCACTTGATTAACATGAGAATTCCATAATCAGGTCATCTCGATATATACAGGTCTTTTGTAGTTTGAATCTGATATATATTTCTTTGGAGTTTTGATGGATTCAAGTTTTTTTTTTTTTTTTTCAGTTTCATTGATTGTTTTCAAGTATTGATTTCTGGGAAGTTTGAATGAGGTAATTGGTTAATTTATTTTTGTCAAATTTGACCCAAGATACCTCATTGACTACTCAAACGAGTTTTCTGTTTGTGAGCTTAATATGTTTTAAGGTGGTGGGAAACTGGAATCTAGCGGTATCAGGACTATATAAATATAAATACGAGTCTGGAATCCAGAGGGAGCTGCTTTCATCTTTTAACATCATTGATGTTTAACAATTGAAGGATAGAGTAGTAGTACACAGAAAGAACTGCAGCATCCTTGGCCTATTCTGATTGATTTCACAAGACCGATGATATGCATAATGCAAGTTTTTTGACAGATGAGGCACTCATACAACATGCAGCTAGAAAATATCTATGATAAATCGACTATCTACTCGACATTTCATTTCTCTTTGCTTCTTAATAAGACGTATCAACTCTGACAATACTTTCCAAGGATACAAATAGAAAAGCAACAGTAGGACCAATGTAGTTAAAACCGCGCTTTAAAACTTAAAAACTTACGATTTTACGTTTTTAAGTCAATAAAACGCTTCTACACAAAATCTCAGTTTTTATAACTTATGTAGTTAAAAACTTCGCTTTAAAACTTAAAAACATACGATTTTACGCTTATAGATCACCAAAACGTTTCTACGTAGAAACTCGCTTTTGACTAGGACGCCTCTTCCAGGACTGTTTCCTATGCTTTCTGACAGGTTGTGCAACTCTGCACTACATATTAGTTAGGAAGCACCTGCAGGTTCATGGTTTGGGTGTGAAGCTGGAGTTTCTAAAGGTGAAGCATCTGCAGAACAGTGAGAGAGGTGGTATGGATATGACTTACGAGGGACTGTCTGATTTGTGCTTGACAATAACTTCTTAAGTCTGTCTTTCAAAAAAAAGCGAAAGGGCATCGCATGTTGTCAGAGTATCCACGGAGTTTATAACCCCTTTACTGGCGAGGCTGGTGAAGCCTAATGACACACCTTTAACAATGGTATCAGGACGCTCCTGGTCATAGTTGTCCACAAGAAGCAAAGCAACAAATACTCCGGAATATACTGGGTCATGCTGACATGCTATGGCATGGAACACACTATCAGTAGCATTGTCGGTTCAATGTTCATTATATTGTCCATTCTTTCATCAAAGAAAAGGCAGTCACAAAACAATGCCAACTTGGCATTGGCTTCAACATATGAACCGAATCAGGCCAACTATAGGAGTCTCCCTCTCCGGCTCAAACAGGAACTTCTTGGCAAATCACATTTGGTAATGCTTCAGATGCCTAAACTTGACATGAACAAGTAAGAACCTCAACTGTAGCTCCATTTCTGAGGTGACTCAAAGCAAGAAATACCTACTTGAGGTCCTCCTAGTAGAGTACAATTGTGCAATATATGAAAACCCCTCTGTTCTAAATTTGGTTGGAACCAGAACTAAATCCTTCCATCTATTGCGAAACTCTGGAACACGAACCAAATCCTAAAGCAGCCTAACTAAGTCCCTCCCAATCTTGACGCTCAAATGAAGCTTCTCTCTCGACATCTTCACACAAAACTCAATCTCTAATTTCTTCAACAAGTCTACTCCAACATTGCCTGATACTCTACAGTGATCGGCCAACAAGCGAAGATAAACATAGAATGCACTTGTCAACACAAAGGACACTTCTTCCAGTAAAGAGATAAAAGTTTGGCAAGAACATATTAATCAACTCAAAGCACAACCACAAACTCCTATCAGTTTAATCAGAGGTAGTATGCCTCAACAAACCCAATAGCAAACCATCGAAACCAACTCCGGAAACATGAACCATTTCATTGACAACCCAAACAACTATTGTTTCACATAATCAACTAGCTTGGTGTACAACTCAAGTACGAATCTAAAAGTCAAACTAACAAAAAGGGCATACCCATCGGAGACCATGCCATGAAGATGCTTCATATGAATCTTGGCAAATTGTGGTTCGGTTAAGACCCCGTACATAAGAGCATGAATGAGTTGGGAATACTCATGGGGGGTTGGGATGGAAAGAGAAAATGGGGGCCTTAGTTTGTGTTCAAGTACCACAAAAGCTTGTCTCAGTGAATACTCAAACTCGTTTCTTGCTTCATGGGTGCTAATATTCAACATCTTTGATTCCATATCTTCTCGGGTCTAAGAGCTAGGAAAACACGATATAGCCAGAAAAACCTCTAATGAAGCAGATGAGAGAGGTTATCAAGAGTTACCGGTTGAACATCGAGCGAGAATAGTTCATCCTTTCAAGTGCAATCAGTTGGCGCTGTGCTTAGGTCACCCAATTCCCCCAATCAGAGCCACGATCCCGCTTTAGTGCGTCAAATTGCTATTTTTGGACACAGCTCTAGAGATTCGTGACGAGAAATGTGCCTTAAATCCTCTGTCCACCCCTTCTCTGTCTGTCCTAATGGCCAATGAAATTCTCTCAACTCATGTCCCCCCTCATCGTTTCTTGGCTCTCAATTGGTATCTAACTATCTATTCACTATGTAGTATCACTGCCAACTATAAGAAAGCAAAATATCGACTGATGAGACTCTTACAGTCGCAAAGAAAATCCCAAAGAATGAAAGCTCATTAAGAGTTGTTTGTTTGATAGATTTGGTGATGGTTTTGTCTTTTGGTAATGGCTTTAGATTTATCATAGAGTACAAATTCTCTTGTTTGCTTCATGTATTTAAGGACAATAAATTCGTCAGATCCATAAACTTTGAGGACTTAAATTCACGGGTCAACAGAAATCTAAATCGTACTCCTTTGTAAAATTTAGGGTAATAAGCAGCAGGGAATTATAGCCACAACTATCGAAATTCAAAATAATCGCCAACCGTTAAGTCTCCGTTAACACTTTCGTCAGATGATGGTGAGTTGGCAGATGTTATACTGAACTGGAAGAGATATTTTGATGTGGCAATCAACGAAAAATGCCACATACCCGATCAATATTGATAACTTATATATTAATAAATTATTAGAAAAAAACAAAAATCAGACCGGTCACCCCCAAATTCTCTTCTTCTTCTTCTCCCCTTCCTCTCTACCCAAGGCGGAAGCGTTCAACTGCGGGTCGACCAAGGGGGACTGCAACAACCGGAGCTACCCTCTCTAGAAAGACAAGGGTGTCGTCGAGCTCCCCTTCCCACCCGTCAGCTGCTTCTTCGCTCAAGTGGTGCTTCTACACAGGCGGTCAATCGACTGTTTCTTCCCTCATGTAGTTTGATTAAGTTTTGAATGATGGAATTGATGCTGGAATGGTTGATGAGGTGAGACTTGGACATCTTGAGAGCCCATAGCGAGCGATTAGGTTTTGATTGACGGAGTTGATTAAGTGTCCTAAGAACGGAATCATCAATTTCTCGATTAGGGTTAATGGCGACGGCGGCAAAGCGAGGGACGCAATTACGGTTGTTACCCAGCAATAAGGAAGAATGTGGCCAGGGCGGAATGCGGCGAGTCTTCCACGTCTCTTAGTGGGTTGCACCGTCGTTGTGGGGAGTCTTTCCCATTCTGGGCAACCGAAGCAATTATGGTGGCAGTGGAGTGGTGCAACAGAGGAAGAAGAACGATGGGAGGAGGAGGAAAAAGACGTGTGTGAGAGGAGATTTTCTATTTCCTTTTTTATAATAATAATAATAATAATGATTACTTAAATAAATTATTATTATTTTAATATTTTCTGACGTTAACACTAGTATGAATGCTGACGTGGCAGTCCCCATGAAAAATTAAATAACAGTAACAGGTTGTTAGCCATATCTTGACCCGCAAAAATAGTTATGGTTAAGAATTTGTATTTCGATAGTTGTGACTATATTTCCCCGCTACTTAATAGTTCTGACTACTATATTGTATTTACCCTAAAATTTATCATGGACTTTGAAGTTCATCATTTACGACCAGTCTACTTCTCTTATTTTCTTTCCATTTTCATACAAATTAGGATAATCAAGGTCAATTTCACTTCATGCATACAAACCTAACTAATAAAATTCATCATGAAATCTATGAAACAAACAATTATGGTTTTCAATCTCAAGTCCTAAACAAGCTCCTAAGGGTCGGTCTCTCTTAACCGAACAAGTCAATTGAAAATCAACTGATCAAGAGAACATGATTAATTTGGTTTGGGCATTTCATCGAGCACTTGGTGGACGACATTCAAACTTCATAAAAAATAAAGCCCACAGAGGCCTCCAAACACACATACACATTCATTATTCATAAACATAAGCATACAATCTATGATCCTATTGTACTAGTCATACCATACCCTAGCCTTAAGTAACTAGGTTCATAGGCCAGAAAAAAATGCTTAACAACAACACAATATTTGCAACCATTTCTCAAACAACTGAATGTCTCCAACCATCATTCATGTAATTCTTGACATGGCAAGAGTTCATTCACTACTAAGACTTTAAACACTTCCTAAAACACTATCTATCATCAAGTTTTATTTTTGAAGAGTAAGAAAATGAAAACTGGTTGTTGGGGTACCTCCCAACGAGTGCGTCTTTTAGGTCTTATCGTCGAATGATTGACTTCAAGTATTCGGTCCAGCATAAGAATTCCTTGAATTTGAGGTTCTCGTCGGTGAGGTGGTGTTTTAAGTTTCAAGCATTGGATGCCTCAAATGGTGTGGATGAGTCTTGGACTTGGTGAGAATTTAGTCTCCACCCACGAGACCTGTTCTTCTTGCCTTCTTCATTGTTCTCTTTGCACCATACCATGTAATGCAACCTTGATTGACCACTATTGAATCCACCAAGAGGAATTGATGATGGTGTGGCCTTGGCTTGGCTAAGAGAAACTACAAAAGGGTCCTTCTCTAAAAGTGTAATAGGGCCGGATGGAAAACTTTGGTAGCACGTGTAACTTGTGGAAGCTATATCCATCTCAACCTTGTCCTTATCTTGGACACCATTTGCATCTTCAACCTCCCTTCCTTCTTATAAAATTTGGTCTAACCCTTGGGAACAACCAAGATCTTCCTCTTCTTCAATGCTCACTTCCTCCTCCTCAACCCCTTTTCTCACATTCCCATCCTTTCTTCAATCACAAATTGGAGGGAAAGACACCATGCAAGGTAGTTGAAAGGGTCATCTTGCTCCACCACCCTCATGACTTGGTCTTCAAAGTTGGTCGTATGATAAGCAAAGGTGTGAGATTCCAAATGAGGTACTTCTTGTTCATACTCATCCCGATAGCTCTCCAAGATGAGTTCTTCTTGTTCCTCAAAGTCCTCATGGCTCGCATCATCGAATTCCATCCTCTCTTCAAATGCTAAGAGAGGATTGTGAGAAAGTTGTGCACATGCTTTCTCAACAATCTCTACTAGCTTTGCCACCTCATCGAGCCCATATTCTTGGCTTCCAACTTCTTGATTTCTTGATGAAGCTTCGGGGGTGGCTGCATTCGGCTGTTGATTGATATTCCCATGTGTTGGAGAAGCCATATGGATCCATGATTCAATCTACACCAAATAAAAAACAAAAACACCTTCAAAGACAAAGGTTGGAGAAAAACAAAGCAAAGAAAGAGAGCAAAAGAAACAAAATAACGCTTAAGTATATTACTATGAAATACTATTACTACTAATAATATAAGAAAGAAAGTAAGACAAATTAACAACCTAACTCTTTCAACTAGTTACCATTGTTTCGCCAGCAATGGTGTCAATAACATGACACGCAGGCGGGTCGAGCTTTAAATTTCTAAAGTTGAAGCACACTTACTCTAACCCTAACAACAACAAGTATACTGATGCTAGGCTTGTAGTATAGCAGCTCTGTCGTATTCCAGGGGATCCTTATGGTTACTTTTACTTCACACCAAACTAATATATATATAAAATCAGAAAATTGGGTGAATTAACTAACCTAACCTAACTAAAACAAAACAAACAACCAACTAAGTGGCTGGGAGACCGCTAGGGATGAGATTTTTGTCTAGGGTTGACTCCCACTAGTTATAGGTTGATACGGGCTACAATTTAACAATACTTTGAGCTATGGAGGTCATGAAGGTGAGAATAGACTCAATGGTCGTGCAATCAACCCCTCTCTTAGCTAGACCACCAACCCAATGTCACCTAAAACGGTCTACCTAACTAGGGACAGGTTCTACCTCCTCCAAACGGGTTGTACCAGTCCGCACACAATTCAGGTAAACCATTGGTCACGCACTTACCTGGCAAACATCAATTAGGTGAGAATCTAATTAGAAGGGGATTGTCACCTCGGCCTCTAGCTAGGCCTCTAGGTCATCCAATCGAGGTAAGAAACATTTACACTCATCTAAATCCTAATTATAAGCGTTAATCATCCTATTTAAACCCAATTATACCATAAATTCATATGCAAGACAATGAATTCCGCTAATATCTAGGTTGCAAGTTGCAACTAAGGCAAATGCGATACAGACAATCCCACACTAATTGATGTCTATGATAATCTTGACCTAAGGCGATGGAAATCTCACTTAGGTTATGAACAAATCAATCACAATAAAGCAGGAGATTATCATGCACAAACATCAACAGGCATAGATAAATTGGTTTATAACCATGATAACATATGACCCATACTGATGTGAGTCCGCACAGCGGAGACCTCCGACCAGCATCATCAAATTCCATGCCTGGGGAATCAAGTAATGTGACCGAATAATTCCAACAAAATAACCCCCGACCGGTGTTGTCAAATTCCTAACCTTGGATTTTGACCGGGTTTCGGGCTGGCCAAGTTCGGCCTTCCTTTTCGGTTTAGGTTTTTGTTTCTTTTCTGGTTTTGGTTATTTTTATTTGCCCTATGATATATAAAGGGCTTAAGACACGAATTTTAGGGTTAGACTTTGATGAATAAGAATTTTACATCGAGGTGTGTTTTTCCCCATGGAACTGTTGTGCTTATGCTTTATTGTTTTAGCTATTGATGGATTCCATAGCTAGTGCAAGATCCTAGTTTGAGTTTTTCTGTTGAAGAATCCAGAAGAGCTTGGCAAGACTCTTATCAATCAAACGATCACATTTGATTGTGGCGAGTATCTATCCCCACGTATCCCTTTATATTTATGTTTGTTTAAAGGTCAATTAGAACTATCCAAGCTTGAGTTGTTGTTGCGTGACTTTGATCAAAGGACCTAGGCTTTCACGAGCTTGGGAAATTATCACATACACAAAGTATAAGCTAAGGTTCATATCCTCTAAACAACCATAGGGATTCAAATCATAGAGAGAGAAAGGAAATACAAACTAAGAGTGGGAAATGTTGGGAATCATCTTCTTCTCCTTGGATTGCACCTTCTCCTTGATCCTTGTATGGATTTGACCTTTCCCAAGCCCTCTCAAGGTGTTACTCTCTCTTAAAATTACCCAAGAACCCTAATTTCTCACTCTAGTGTAGAAAAGGAGGTATTCGTACTATTTATAGTGCAAATCATGGCCTCATCATGCCTTTGACCTGGTCCTGATCTGGCCAAAATGGTGTTGAATCACCCGAAACTCTGTGTCGTGTTATCATCTTCAAATGTCGAGATCGCAACCTTCATCATGAGATCACATTCTAGATCTTTATGTTTGTTTCGCGATATTTTTCGAGGTTGAAAAATCCCCTTGGCCGCCCGTCGAGTGTCAAAACTTTCTGCCCTTTTGTTGGCTGCTTGCTGAGTTCGTGGCTACTGTTCACGGCACTGAACATGGTCACTCCCTGGTCAAGGCCGTGCCATGCCCATAACTTGTGTTATTTATCCCCTTTTTGCTCCTATGCAATGCAAACATTCCCTAATTAATTTCAAATCGAGTCCCGATAGATTGTAAATGAATATAAGACCTAGAATTTCATCACAAACACCAAGAAAGCATAAAATCCGACAAAGCGGGGTGTATTTCCCCTTGGAAACCTTCATATCAAGATAACCCATGCCAAAATTGATGTCTTATGGATAGGAACGAAAATAGGTCTAAACTAGCTTGATATGTGGCCTAGACACGGTGATGCATAATGCAAAAGCCTCGAGAATAAGGGCTAAATAACACCTATTTAGGTGTTATCACTTCATTTCCAAACAAAATACGTCAATTAATTTATGCTTACCTCTAGCTAAATCGTGTGATGTTTTTATCATAATATCTATGAGGAAACTTAGTTGCATGATGTGAAGAGGAAACTCGAGCCTCTATAGTTTTCATGATTATGGATAATGTAGATACAAGGAGGAACATACAGTTGTCGCCACTGCCCCTTTTCTTGGATAGTTGATTATTAATTAATATGGGAGTATTGTGAAGTGGAGGTAAATTGTCTTTATAACTAATATTTTGTTTTCATATCATTGATAAAAGGTTAAATGTAATGTCGAACTATAAATATCATTGATAAAAGGTTAAATGTAATGTCAAACTATAATTGTATAGTTTGACGGTGTAGGACTGCAACAACATCTTGATTAGTTCCTCATCAGATGCAACTACCTAATCCTTTTGTTAATCTAACATATTTATTTCTTGAATTCTTAGTTACCAAACATGTCAATCTTTCACTCTATGCTCTCTTTCAAGTAAATGTCACTGTTAGAATGCTTAGTTACCAAACATGTCAATCTTTCACTCTATGCTCTCTTTCAAGTAAATGTCACTGTTATGCTGAAGTTTTGTCAAAATGAAATGTAAATCCCAAACAAAAAATTATATCGCTCTCATGGCTTCACTTTGTTGTAAACAAAAGAAAGTCTATTAAGATTTTATTATAGTAAAATAGCAACGTTACAAAGCATTTTCAAGATTCTATTAAGATACATAATTATATCTTCAGATTTAGTCCTATGGGAAGTAAGATCGACCACAGTTTAAACGATGAACGTAGGTTATACATACTTTAATTTGCCGAAAATGTTGTCATCGATTGGACAATCTATGATACAGAAAATTCAACTCCTAAGTTTGCTAAGTTATATGTTCATCAAAGAGAGAACTAGGTTGTATGTCGACATCATTCAATTATGACGCGTGATAATTTGAATTCTCTACGTGAAGTTGTTGTCACTAGGTTGAAGGAAATGTTAGACAATTTCAATATGTCGCCTAACGTTTAGATAGCTTATGAAGTTAAAAACTTATGGCAAATCTAAGATAAGATGGTTCTAAATATGATCTTCCAAGTAGTAATGAAGTTGCAATTCTTATAATCTGACATTATTGTTGATCCTGCACACACTTAATTTATTTGATTTTGGTGCTAGTTAAAAATCGATGCATTGCAAACTATACATGTAAAATACTACTTTTACGATGAAGTATAACTTTTAACCTTGGTATATTGTAATTTAGATTGTTTAGTCTTTGTGATAGTTATTATAGAATAAAGTATATTACTTTTACGATGAAGTATAACTTTTAACCTTTGTTGTTAAATATAAGAAAGTAACTGAAAGACGATCACTAATAACGGAAAGGTTAAATACACTTGTATATCCAAAACTTTCACGGTTGTGCCAATAATATCCAAATTTCCCGAAATACCACTTATATCCAATTCCTTCACATTCTTTAATGGTGTTTTTGGATATACAAGTGTATTTAACCAAAAATATATTGGGAAATGGATAGATTTGGCAAAGAACAAATTTAAAACATGGATATAAGTGGTATTTCGGGAAATTTAGATATTATTGGCATAACCGTGAAAGTTTTGGATATACAAGTGTATTAAACCTAACGGAAAGGAAACACACAGACAAACCAATTTACGTGGTATCCCTGGAATTCAAGAACTAATCCAAGAAAGAGTTAGGACTCTTCGAGCTCAAATTCACTATTCAGAGGTGTCTCTCTTAGCCACCATTATTACAGCAAAGATCTATATAAACACCCTCCTATAGCGGAACCCTAGGAGAGAAACATGACTCACTCGGCCAATCCTCTCCATACATGGGTTACATGAGTCAAAAGTAAAGCCCAATCACGAACAAGTCTCAAGCCCAAAATAATATGTACAAGAAAATGAAAAACAAGATACAACTCATCTAACATCCTCCACCAAATTGATGCAGAGCAGATAGCATCAATTTGCTTGACAAGTACCAATGACGACTCGAGGGAAAAGCTTTCATAAGGATATCCACAACCTGCTCTTCTGTGCGAAGGTAATGCAAAGTGATCTCGCCATCATGAACCAAATTTGTGATGCAATGGATGTGAATCTCAGTGTGCTTAGTACGATCATGTAAGATAGGATTAACGGCAATACGGATAGAGCTCGTGTTATCAACAAAAAGTTCCATAGGAATCAGACATACAATGCCGAAATTGGCCAAGAGTCGACGAAGCTAGACAAGCTTAGAGGCAACATCAGACATGGAGCGATACTCCTCAGTAGACGATTTAGAGACGTTGTCTTGCTTCTTGCACCGCCAGGAAATAAATGCTACCCCCATACTGAACACACCAACCAGAAGTAGAACGACGATTATCACACAACCAACAAAGTAGGAATCACAGTAGACACGTAAGCCAACAGGGTCAGAGGAAGGAAATAACATACCAACATCACGAGTTCCCTAAAGATAGCAAAGAATATGATGAAATGCAGCAAGATGATCAGTACGCAGATGATAGACCGTTAATTACACATGTTTTCACCCCTGTTCTTACACCGTTTGAGATGTGGTTTCTCGTGTTTTAGACCGATTTCACACTAGGTTGTGCTTGTTTGTGATATTTCAGGTCCTGGCAAGTGAATGAAGGTTTAGGAGCGAGTTCGGGGTCGATTGGACGAAGATCGGGCGCGAGGCAAGTCACAAAGGAAGTCGCACGGGCACACCCACAACCCACACGGCCGTGCAAGTGACAGTTTGGCCGTGTGGGATTGTGCGAGAGCAAACACGGGCAGAGCAGAAAATCCACACGGCCGTGCAAGGTGAGCTGCACGGCCGTGCAAGGTGAGCTGCACGGTCGTGCGACCCTGGCCGTGTAAGAAGCCTGGAATTCAACTAAGTGATACGCTGCGTTTTGACTCGCACGGGCAACTGGGTGAGCCACACGGCCATGCGGCCTGCCCGTGTGAGTCGGGAATTGCTGGTTAAAACCCGATTTTCAGCTAAAGGAAAGGGGAGACCTGGGTTTTGGATCCCAAACACCCAAGGGACGAACCCTAGAGAGAGAGAGCGACTTGGGAACATTCTTGGAGCTACTTTGGAGGATTTCTTTGCCATTGGAGCTCGGGAATCAAGCTTGGAGATGGAGATTTAAGATCTAGATCAGATTTCTGCAGTCTCTCTCTTCTCTATGGAGTAACTTCCCTTCACTTAGGTTTTGAGGAACCCTAGTTCCATGAGTTAGGATCTTTCTTGTATGAATTTTTGGATGCTATATTGTTTGATTATAATCGAATGATGCATGTTTATTGAGTCAATTGAAGTCTGATCAACTTTTCCTGATTTCTGCTGCAACCTGAGATAGATAGAATCTGATTAGGTTGTTAGAGCCTCATCATTCGGTAGTAGGAGATTGGCTATACGAGAGTTAGCCAGTTTACTGCTTTGTAATGGAATCCAATTCCAGTAGTGGAGTTCTGTTCTTATTGCTTCAGCTTTCTATCCCGGTGAAGACTAGTCGTCTGCCGGATAGTTAGACTGAGAGGGCTTGGTCAGCTTAAGAGATTCCAAGCTATTGTCGGATCTTTCGCAGTCTAATCAATAGTAAAACAACCAAAAGGAATTACAACTTGGACCTAATTGAGGAGCTAGGGGAAATCATACCTAAGTGAGTTCCCAAACTATAATTAGTAGTTTTACTTAGTTTAGTTAGTAGAGTAGTTTAGTTAATCAATCCTTAATCTAGTTTGCTAGATAATGAACTGAAGCTGTGTAATAGTAACTCTAGAGACCCGTGGATTCGATATTTATTACTTGTGCCACTATAATGCAGTCTCTTTCATTGGTTACACTTGGCCATTGTTAGGTGTTGTGTCATAGCGAGTCAAGTTTTTGGCGCCGTTGCCGGGGACTTTCTCGAGTATTAGGAAAGGCAGAAGTTTGTTACTTTAGCGTTTTTCTTTCTTTTCCACCCTTGCTTTTCACTTGGGTGTTTTTTTTTCGTTTTTGTTGGTGCAGAGCTGAATCATGAATCCTCATGGCTTCTCCAATCATTGGGGGTATCCACCACCATCCGAGTGGTATTACCCCGAGACTCCCTGGAGCAATCAAGGAGGAGAAGACTATGGATTCGGGTTCCAGTACCAACCCCCTTTCTATGGAGAACAACTAGACCCCTGGGTATATCAAGAACAACCTCATTACCAAGAAGACTTTCTCCCACAACCGGAAGGGCCATCGGAGTTGGAGTTACCCATGGCGGCCTTCACGGGCCACTCTGCAGAGCCATGCTACACTTCACTGGAAGATCCGAACAAACAATTAAGGCTTCTCGTGGAGCAGTTTGCTCGAGACACTGAGAAATCATGCTCCGAGATGGATCTTCAAATCAAAGCCCTTGCCACTTCCGATCCCTCATTTCTCCATGATATGGAGGAGACTGTTCAGCGCTCAGCGAAGCAAATAGAGTGGGTGAAGCAAGTTTGCTCACATCTTGCTCAAGATCACCTTTCTGCTACCACGCTAGAAGAGGTGGAGGATGACAAAGGCTATGGGAGCGTTGAGGAGCATACAGAAGTTATCACAGAGAACTCCCATGATAATCATGATCAGGAAAGTCCTTTGGTTGCAGACCACACCTTTCCTCATTTATGCTCTAACATGTTGGGCCCGTGCGAGGAGATGCAAGATGATCCCATTGAAGAAATTGCTTGGCGACTTGCTCTCCAATCTATTCTAGAAGAAGAAGAGCGAGCAAGGATGAGGAAGGAAGTTGTGGATGATGAGGAAGAAAGAAAAGAAGAGGTGGTTCTTGATCTTTTCCCAGGGGAGAGACCACATTTTGAAGAAGGAAGGGGGGTTGAGGAAGCAATTGGCGTCCAGGCTGAGGATGAAGTTGAGGTGGAAGAGGCATGCACCGGCCATGAGTTTCAAGTAATATCCCCACCAAACTTTGAGGAACTGCTTAGCAAGGACCCATTTGCAGTGTCTCTTTGCCAGACCAAGGCCACATCAACATCGGTCCCTCTTGGTGGACCCGATGGTGGCCAATCGATGCTGTCATATCTGGTTTGGGGCAATGAGACGAGAGAAGAGAAGAAGAGGTCTCGAGGGTGGAGACTTCATCTGCATCAAGTACATGAGCCTTCATCACCTGCCACACCACATGCTCGTGACTTGAGACTCCACCTCATCGACGAGAACCTCAACTTCAAGGAGGTTCTAGCATGGACCGAAACTTAGGAGCCATCGTCCGACTCACGACGTGAAAGAAGCGCTTGTTGGGAGGCAACCCAACCAGTCGGTATGCATTTCTACCTCTATTTCTCCTCGGTTGAGTCAGTTTTGCTATTTGATTTTAGAGTCAATAACTCAACCTTTGTGAGATTTAGTTTGGTGTTGTGTTTTGGCGTGTCAAGTTTTTTGCGCCGTTGTCAAGTTACCAGATCAAGGGTGAATAACTCAACCTTTGTGAGATTTTGTGTGGTGTTTGTGTTCTGATTACTCTCTCTTTCTGGAATGCACCGCCTGACCCGTTCATCATCATTCACCCTTGATCTGGTAACTTCGTTCTACCCTCCTTATCTTTCCTCCATTGAGGACAATGTCGTGCTTAAGTGTGGGGGGATGTTCGATTATGTATGCGAGTGAATGTTTGGCTGTTTGTGTGCTTGGAGCCTAGTCCACTGTCCAAATTTTTAAATTTGAGGGCTCCAAGTACGTGTTCCTTGCAATTGCCTGCTCAGTATGCTTTGAATTGACAGTCTTTATAGTAATATGCAACCTAGGGAGGTAGTGTAGCACTATGGAGGATGTTGATGCATTTAAGAAATCTCATTTCTTCTTCATATTGTGATGGTTGATTGAGTGAATTAGTGATCTTAGGACCCTTGAATTGTGTGGTGTTGTGATCCTTGAAAAAAAAAGAGTAAAGAAAAAAATAACAGAAAACAAGCAAAACAGAAAGAAAAGGGGTTCCAACCATCTTCAAAGAAAATAGAGCACCTTGAAAAATGTGAGTCCATGATCCTTTGTTTTTGAGAATCTCTTCATCCACAATTCATTTGTCCTCTATTCACTATTTGCCATGATGCCGACTCGATACTAGTGCTCTCGCCGAAGAAGCTATGAGATGACTTGTGCGTCGGTTGACCTCGTAAGCTGCTAAATGATCTAGGAAGTCCTCTACCTACGATCTGGGGTGTTTGTTGCTATAGAGGTCTGGAGAGTTTCATTGGTTTGAGTTAGGTTTGCTTGGGGACAAGCAAACGGTTAAGTGTGGGGGAGTTTGATAGACCGTTAACTACACATGTTTTCACCCCCCCTGTTCTTACACCGTTTGAGATGTGGTTTCTCGTGTTTTAGACCGATTTCACGCTAGGTTGTGCTTGTTTGTGATATTTCAGGTCCTGGCAAGTGAATGAAGGTTTAGGAGCGAGTTGGGGTCGATTGGGCGAAGATCGGGCGCTAGGCAAGTCACAAAGGAAGTCGCACGGGCACACCCACAACCCACACGGCCGTGCAAGTGACAGTTTGGCCGTGTGGGATTGTGCGAGAGCAAACACGGGCAGAGCAGAAAATCCACATGGCCGTGCAAGGTGAGCTGCACGGCCGTGCGACCCTGGCCGTGTAAGAAGCCTGGAATTCAACTAAGTGATACGCTGCGTTTTGACTCGCACGGGCAACTGGGTGAGCCACATGGCCGTGCGGCCTGCCCGTGTGAGTCGGGAATTGCTGGTTAAAACCCGTTTTTCAGCTAAAGGAAAGGGGAGAGCTGGGTTTTGGATCCCAAACACCCAAGGGACGAACCCTAGAGAGAGAGAGAGCGACTTGGGAACATTCTTGGAGCTACTTTGGAGGATTTCTTTGCCACTGGAGCTCGGGAATCAAGCTTGGAGATGGAGATTGAAGATCTAGATCAGATTTCTGCAGTCTCTCTCTTCTCTATGGAGTAACTTCCCTTCACTCAGGTTTTGAGGAACCCTAGTTCCATGAGTTAGGATCTTTCTTGTATGAAGTTTTGGATGCTATATTGTTTGATTATAATCGAATGATGCATGTTTATTGAGTCAATTGAAGTCTGATCAACTTTTCCTGATTTCTGCTGCAACTTGAGATAGATAGAATCTGATTAGGTTGTTAGAGCCTCATCATTCGGTAGTAGGAGATTGGCTATACGAGAGTTAGCCAGTTTACTGCTTTGTACTGGAATCCAATTCCAGTAGTGGAGTTCTGTTCTTATTGCTTCAGCTTTCTATCCCGGTGAAGACTAGTCGTCTGCCGGATAGTCAGACTGAGAGGGCTTGGTCAGCTTAAGAGATTCCAAGCTATTGTCGGATCTTCCGCAGTCTAATCAACAGTAAAACAACCAAAATGAATTACAACTTGGACTTAATTGAGGAGCTAGGGGGAATCATACCTAAGTGAGTTCCCAAACTGTAATTAGTAGTTTTACTTAGTTTAGTTAGTAGAGTAGTTTAGTTAATCAATCCTTAATCTAGTTTGCTAGATAATGAACTGAAGCTGAGTAATAGTAACTCTAGAGACCCGTGGATTCGATATTTATTACTTGTGCCACTATACTGCAGTCCTTTTCATTGGTTACACTTGGCCATTGTTTGGTGTTGTGTCATAGCGAGTCAGCAGAGCTGACATAAACTGAATAACCAGCTGAACAAGATAAAATATGTCAGGCCGGGTAGCAAACAGATAAATCAGACTACCCACAATACTCCAATAGGAAGATCCGTCAACAGACTGGTCACCATAATCACGACCAAGAGGAAGATTAAGTTCCATCGGATTAGAAACTGGTTTACAATCGGAAAAATGATGATCCTCGAGTAGATCAGAGATATACTTACGATGACTAAGCAAAATACCTCAAGAACTACGAAGAACCTCGAGATCAAGGAAATAAGAGAGATCAGTGACGGGCAACTGGGTGAGCCACATGGTCGTGCGGCCTGCCCGTGTGAGTCGGGAATTGCTGGTTAAAACCCGTTTTTCAGCTAAAGGAAAGGGGAGAGCTGGGTTTTGGATCCCAAACACCCAAGGGACGAACCCTAGAGAGAGAGAGAGCGACTTGGGAACATTCTTGGAGCTACTTTGGAGGATTTCTTTGCCACTGGAGCTCGGGAATCAAGCTTGGAGATGGAGATTGAAGATCTAGATCAGATTTCTGCAGTCTCTCTCTTCTCTATGGAGTAACTTCCCTTCACTCAGGTTTTGAGGAACCCTAGTTCCATGAGTTAGGATCTTTCTTGTATGAAGTTTTGGATGCTATATTGTTTGATTATAATCGAATGATGCATGTTTATTGAGTCAATTGAAGTCTGATCAACTTTTCCTGATTTCTGCTGCAACTTGAGATAGATAGAATCTGATTAGGTTGTTAGAGCCTCATCATTCGGTAGTAGGAGATTGGCTATACGAGAGTTAGCCAGTTTACTGCTTTGTACTGGAATCCAATTCCAGTAGTGGAGTTCTGTTCTTATTGCTTCAGCTTTCTATCCCGGTGAAGACTAGTCGTCTGCCGGATAGTCAGACTGAGAGGGCTTGGTCAGCTTAAGAGATTCCAAGCTATTGTCGGATCTTCCGCAGTCTAATCAACAGTAAAACAACCAAAATGAATTACAACTTGGACTTAATTGAGGAGCTAGGGGGAATCATACCTAAGTGAGTTCCCAAACTGTAATTAGTAGTTTTACTTAGTTTAGTTAGTAGAGTAGTTTAGTTAATCAATCCTTAATCTAGTTTGCTAGATAATGAACTGAAGCTGAGTAATAGTAACTCTAGAGACCCGTGGATTCGATATTTATTACTTGTGCCACTATACTGCAGTCCTTTTCATTGGTTACACTTGGCCATTGTTTGGTGTTGTGTCATAGCGAGTCAGCAGAGCTGACATAAACTGAATAACCAGCTGAACAAGATAAAATATGTCAGGCCGGGTAGCAAACAGATAAATCAGACTACCCACAATACTCCAATAGGAAGATCCGTCAACAGACTGGTCACCATAATCACGACCAAGAGGAAGATTAAGTTCCATCGGATTAGAAACTGGTTTACAATCGGAAAAATGATGATCCTCGAGTAGATCAGAGATATACTTACGATGACTAAGCAAAATACCTCAAGAACTACGAAGAACCTCGAGATCAAGGAAATAAGAGAGATCAGTGAGGTCGTTTAAACTGAACGAAGCATGGAGGTCATCCTTAAGACACTGAATGCCATCAGAATAAGTCCCAGTGATGATCATATTATCAACATACATTAATAGTGCAACAATCCCGTCAGAATTAGAACGAGTAAACTAGGACGGATACTGAAATCCCAAACCAGTAATAGTATACTGAAACTTCTCAAATCATGCTCTGGGTGCTTGTTTAAGACCGTACAAAGATCTCTGAAGTTTGCATACCTGATCAGAAGTACCCAAAGTATAATCCAGAGGAAGCTCCATATATATGTCTTCTTCCAAGTCCCCATAGAGAAAAGCATTCTTAATGTCCATCTGATAAACTGGCCAGTCCTGCTGAGCAGTGACTGCAAGTAAAGTACGAACAGTAGACATCTTCACGACCGACGCAAAGGTTTCATTAAAGTCAACGCACAATTCTTGTGTAAAACCTTGTGCAACCAGGCGAGCCTTATAGCGGTCTACTATACCATCGGGGTTCCTCTTAATGGTGTACACCCACCGACAGCCAACCACTGAAGTCAAATGTGGAGGACAAGGGACTAATGTCCAGGTGTTATTCTCATGAAGAGCCGCAAGTTCTCGAATCATTGCTTGTTCCAACTTTGGGTCGCCCTTAGCTTGGTTATAGCAAGTGGGCACAACCAAAGATTCTACGTTGTAACCTACATAATCCTGGAAATGAAGAGGTGGGATACCTTGTGTCGTATGAAGGGAACGACAAGGAGGTGGAGGATCATCTGGGGATGGTGATGGGTAACGATCAGGTGATGAAGAAGACGACTTTGATGAACTAGAGGTGGAAGACATTAAGCTGGGTGAGCTAGCCGTGACTGGTGAAGGGGAGTAAATGGGAGGGAGATCATGGAGTGTGGGAGTGTGCGGTTCTCTAGGAGGGAGAGTGAGAGAATCACCATCGACATCAGCAAACATCGGTAACGACGTATTAGGAAATGGGAAGGGATCGGTGGTGGACTTAGAAGAAAAATACATGAGATGCTCAAAAAACACGACTGTGATAGCAATGCGCATATGGTGTAAGGTAGGATCATAACACAAGTATCCCTTATGCACATCACTATACCCCAAGAAAACACACCTAGCAGTCTTACATGACAACTTAGTATGCTCACGCTTTGGAAGAAGAACAAAGCAGAGACTCCCAAAGACTCTAAGACGCGAATAATCATGATCTCGAGAATCGAGAGCAAAATAGGGACTTGAATAACACAGAACTGAAGTGATTTGATAATTGGTCAAGCAAGATGCAGCCTGGGGCCAAAAACGACCAGGAACATGAGAGCCAAGAAGAAGAGCACGCATAAGTTCAGCGACATGACGATTCTTTCGTTCCACAAGACCTTTTTGTTGTGAAACGACGGGAGATGACATTTGGCTTAGAACACAATGGAACGATAGACATCATGTAGAGGAATAGAGCTAAACTCACCCCTAAGAACAGACCGAACAATTTTTACTAGACGACCAAACTAAGTCTGAATCATTTTTAAAAACTCAATAGCCATAGAACGAAGCTCGGACTTCAAACAAAGGAATAAGTCCAGGTAAAACAGGTGGCATGGTCGATAAAAAAAACAAAACAACGATAGTCACATAGAGAAGTAACAGATGCAGGACCCCAGAGATTAGAGTGAATGATATGAAAGGGCTCACTAATGATAGTGGTACTCAAGGGAAAAGAAGAACTAACAGTTTTAGCGTAAACACAACTAGTATAATAATGTTTGGTGGGAAAACCAACAGTATTTTTTCCGAGCAAAGACTTTCTAAACATCATTGCAAGATGATCATTATTAGGGTGACCTAACAGCGAATGTCAAAGACTACACAAATTGTCAGACTGTCTCGAAAAACTGAAAGGCGAAGAACTACCAGGCAATAGAGACCGACAGACGAGCCTGAAAGATCATGAAGCTCCTCCAGGTGAAAGACCCTCCCTCGTTTACTCCCCCTTTCGATCTTCCTCCATGTCTTCAAATCCTATATGACACAACCAGAAGGTGCAAGAAACACATAACAACCTGTTTTAGTAAGTTGTTCGACTAAAACTAGGTTAGGAACAAGCTCAGAAATATGCAAAGTCTGATATAAAGATAGCTTTGAATCCTCTACAGAACCAATCCCATTCACGACCAATTTCTCACCATTGGCCACTTGAAGAGCAATATTGTTAGCGGGCACCCAATTCTTATGGTTGAATTTGTTATACATCATATGATTGAAGCACGTGGATTCTAAAAGCCAAGGAGAGGTCTTACCCGAGCCCTAAAGTGTTGCACATGTGGCACTGATATCTGTAAGAAGTGATTTTTTAAGAGCCGCATTAACCAAATCCTCTACTGAAGCTGCGGACAAGTTAAAGCTACTGTTGGCGCCAGCAACAACAGGTGGAATAGTAACAAAGTCCGACCGAGCTGGGTGATTACCACCACGCGCCCCAACAGCTGACGAACCCGAGTTCCAATTCTTTCCAGCCATGTTGCCATTGCTTCTGGCAGCGGGCGAGCCTCCAACAAGCCACGACCCACCAGAACTAGAACCATACCTCACTTCATTGTGTTGTCTACTTTGGCAGTCCAAGATAATATGTCCAGGACGTTTACAATAAACACAGTAGTTACGACGTCGACAGTGTTTCTATAGATGACCCTTCTCACTACAATGGTGACAAATAAG